ACAAGTAAAGGCTAAGGGTGTGTTCCAAATTACAAAAATATGTTTCGGATTAAATCTTGATGAAATCGGTTATTCAGAAGGAGATGACCGACGTGTCCCAACTTTGGACTTTATCTAGGCTTAGTAAAGATAAGGAGTGGGCCGATATTCCATATTTTCGAACATAACTTAAATTTGTAAGAAATATATCACGGTGTGCAAAGTCTGGATGAAATCGGTTACACCCTACGAGAGTTACCTTTGGCACCTGTCGGCCAACAGTATTGGGTCCAAAGAAACTTGGGGTCTAAAGCCAATATTTGGATGGACACATGTTTGCCCTAGTAAAGTGTATATACCCTCATTAGCCATAACGCTGAGGGTTTTTATACCCTCATCTTGACTGGTAGGACTCATTTCCAGCTCAATTGGCTAAGATAATAAGTAAAATTGTCGGCACTCGGAAAACCCACGGTTTATATTTCAATTCTCTTTAAAATCACAATTGCCTGTCATTTCTTCCTTTGTCGATTGAAGGCCTCAATAATACAATTCGTGAGGTTATCGAGGGCATAGTTCGGTCACTTTGTGATTAGGTTATGCTAAATTTTAGAAACAGGACATGGTCCTATAAGCTTGGTCGTTGCATTTGGCGAACATATATCTTCCTCTTAATTATGAAATAAATCTCAGATCTGAAGACATTTAAAGTCTATATCGCCGGAATTTTAAAACAATGTAGTAACAAGGGAATATTTTATTCACACATCTCCTCCTCCTCCTGGGTATTATGAAATAGCCTTCCATAATAATTGGGTTGGAGGTCCGATATTTTCATCATCTATTGAGGATTCTCCTATTTTAGGATTAGTAGCACTCTTCATTATGATTCCCAAAAAAAATCTGAAGGTATAGACCATAGAGCGTATGTTAAGGCGATTAGAACAATGTCGATTTTATCGATTAAAATTAAAATGCTTTAATTTCATGTTGAGCTGAACTGTGCAATGACAAGGAATTCTACACACCGAACACTTTGCGATGATCCTCTATGGCTTTACAAAGAACCTTGCTTCCGCAATGACTTCGACATTAGTACAAATACTCATGTCAAAGTCATTACATAATTGCATTTGGACATTTAATTCAAATTCGATGACTCAATAACGAGCTGAAAAGGCGTCTCCATAGACGAGCTGAGGGTCGACTCAATAGACTAGCTGAAGGACGCATCTATGGAATAGCTGATGGGTGAATCTATAGACGACCTGAAGGAAATCTCCATAAACGAACATTTACCGATGACTTGAAGTTCATGCTTCCGTTATATACAAGCCGAAGGACAGGGAGTCGAGACTCAAAGAGTCTTCAAAGACACGAGCTGAAGGCTGTCAAAATCTCAAGATAGTAGATTTTCCTAAATGTTGAGGATTTTGCACATTTTCTTGGACCTAAGATTATTGCAAAGGAATGTCCATTTTTTTCCTTTGTCTTTATTTTCAGCACTATGCCAATTTTTGCACCAACCAAACATGAAATTCTTTACAATTTCCTCCCACCAATAGAGCACGCTGCTAAGCATAGATGCTCCCTGTGGGCATTATATTGTCAAAAAATGTATTAAACTATTACAGACAATTATTTTGCTACAAACTATGAAGGACATTCAAATCTAATCAAATAATATCCTTAAACAAATAAAAATCCCTTGCTCAACAACATCCCTACTCAATGGCTCAACAGCAGCTCAACAACAAGAAAACAGCTTGTGAGAAAATTTCAAAAAAAAACACAATGGCCCTCTAAGAGTTTCGGGATAATAACAATAATAATAAACAATAAACATTTGTTGTTAGATTTTTTAGATTTTCGTAACATTCATTCTCGAATTTCTCACGAGTTGTCCTAAGACAATTAACCAGCCCCGAACGAAAACAGATACTATTCTTACTTTATGGGGTTTCTGTAAACACACCGAGCACAAACCAGCAAGCAATCTTATCCTACTTTAATCGTATTCTTACTCTAATCAAGTGTTAAACAATCGGCTCATTCACTCTCGGTTCTTGTGTCCGGCACAGTATGGGAATAGCATGGCAGGGCTCAATGGCTGGCTATGGCTTTTCTTGTGGCATGCCCTTATTAACTGGAAACATGTTTAATTGCTCTGTTGTTATGATGATGATGTCTCTGCAACACGAGCGTATCACACACTCACTCATAAGCCAAACAAACTAACAACAACCAAGTCAGCCAGCCAGTTATCGATCTATTCCAGCCAGCAAGCAAGCAATTCATTCATCCGCCTGTCTGTCCGTCCGTCCGCACACTCATCCATGAAGAAAACAAACCGCTCGTTGAAATGACACCAACAGCTGCAACCCACAAAATTTTCTCACACTCGGTGTAGAGGCACTTCTCCTCAATGAAGCTGAATGTTGTTTGTCCAAGACGTCGACGACCAAGAGGACCAAGTTGTTAATCAAGTCAACTTAACTGACGTTCTGACGATCTGTTTAGTTAGTTGCAAAGACAGCTCCAGGGGTTTTGTGTGTGTGTTTCTTTCTGAAACACAGAAGCACACAATTTTGAACGTTTCCCAAAAAAAAAGACGATGACGAAGAAAGAAAGGGCAGGTGGTAGTTATTACTTCTGCATTTTGGGTTTTTGTTGTTCTCTTCACTGTTAAGGTTTACATGTTGTTGTTGTCGTTGCTGTGAAAACTTTGTATCTGTTTGCTGTGTGCGCTGTTGTTGTTGTTGTTTTTAATCTTCTCACTCACAATATTTGACACTGAGTATCCAGCCAGTCAGCCGACCAGCACAGGAGAGGGTTAGCCTTAGAGTACAGTGGGTTACAGTGTTGGGAATACTGATTTTTTTTAATTACAGCAAATTGGGAAACATGTTTTTGGCTCGAGAGAAACGTACGCTGAAAAGAATATTTTTCTTCATTTTTTTTTTTTTTTTTTTGAAAAGTACGTGGCCTTCTAATTTTACGGATGGACGAGGTGAAAGAGTGTCTCTAAAGACACAGGCAGAAGGGTGACCCTGTAGCCGATCTGAGAGGATGTCTTTATACGGCGACCCTATAGACGTGCTGAAAGGCGAATCTACAGACGAGCTAAAGGACGTGTCCATAGAGTAACTGAGGGGCAAATCTATATAGACCTAAAGGGAGTCTCTATGGACAAGGCTGAAGTGAGGCTCTATAGACGAGCTGAATTGGGTCTCTATAGAGGAGCTGAAGGGCTGAAGGGAGACTTCATAGACGGAGTGAAGGGAGACTTTATAGACGGGGTGAAGGGAGACTTTATAGACGGGCTGCAGGTAGACTTTATAGACGGGCTGCAGGGAGACTCTATAGACGAGGCTGATGTGAGGCTCTATAGAGAGCTAAAAGAACGCCCATATAGAAAAACTGAAGGACGTATCTACAGAGTAGTTGAGGGGCGAATCTATAGACGACCTTAAGGGAATCTCTATGGACGAGGCTGAAGTGAGACTCTATAGACGAGCTATAGAACAGCAGATGGGAGACTCTATAGAGGCCCAATTCAGGATCTATCAGGTTGAACTAAAAGGGCGATCCTATAGACTGAAAGGGTGACCTTGAGGTTCTATAGACGAGCTTTTTTTACAAAAATATAGACGAGCAGAAAATCGAAATTATGATATATTTTACAAAAAAATAATCTTTAACAAAGGGACCTTCGAAAACAAAAAAAAAAAAAACATATTCGAAAAGTCCTACAGTATTCAGAACGATAACCTTAAAAGTCCAAGTTCTGAGAGATCTTAAATAAATCTACACACTGATATATATGTTGAAAAATGCTGGGAAAGACATCGGAAAAAATTTCCGGAAAATCCTACCTCTGCTAGATTTTAGAAAAACAATTATATAACAAATTCAAGCACTGATGGACCTTCGCAAAAAAATCTTCAAAAATCCAAGTTTTTGATAAGCATTGAAAAAAATCCCACACCCTGTTTATATAAATCCACTCTTGATAGAACTTGATTTTTTAATCCCACGCCCTGAATTACCTTGGAAATTTTATTTTAATTTTTTTTAGCTCCGATAGACCTGAGGGCATTTTTTTTTTAAATCCACGCTATGAAAGATCTTGATAAAAAATAATATCAAAACATATCCTCCAAAATCAACCTGTTACTCTATAGACATATAAAACCTGTGTATATCCACACTTGTAAGCCCCTTCAATTGTCCAGTGTATGGATACTTGACGTGCTTTAAACACGTTCCACCACCTCTCACACACCGAATTCTAACGCCCGAACAAATCACCCCATATTTGCCAAAATGTTTCTTTTTTAATCACACCACCATACAACAAATGTAACCCACTGTAACCGTAAATGTAACGTTCAATTCATGTGCCATGTCTGTCCTGACCTATACAATGGCATTACCATGCTATCAGTAACACAAAAGGATACAACAAGCAGGATTTTATGAAACCCAAGGATAACAGCGCAGAACAACAAAAACAACCCCATATGCACGAGATAAATGAAATGGTGGGAAACTAACTGGCAAAGAGTTTCCCACGATATTCGACTGCATAGTTTTGCTACCTGTCTCCCTATTGTATGGATTGTGTGTGCATTACAAAGCAAACCACCATCATCATTGTCATACCAGATCCGCCAACCACCATCAGCTGAAGCAACCAGCAGAAACAACCCCTAACTGCTACAACATAAGACGCACTAAACTAAAAACTCCAACTTGGGATCGTAGTCACGCTCTCTGGACAAAGAGCGTGCCTTAAGGATTCTCTTTTTAGTTTTCTTACTCTCCATGGCTCTCCATAGCTTCTGTGTTGGGTTTTGGTGGTACGTGTGTTGAGCACGAGTTGTGAGTTTATTCTTGGGACACGTGTAGGTATATAAACCCGACTGCACTCTAACGCAATCATCATTCTCAGTTAAGTCGTCGTAGAACGAACACTAAAAACGAAGTTTATTTTTAAAATAACCGAAAACTAAAACAACTCAACAAAAACAAAACAAAAATGGCCAGCAAATACGAAATGTCCAAAACCTACCAATACCGCAAAGTGATGAAACCTCTATTGGAACGTAAACGTCGTGCCCGCATCAACAAGTGCCTAGATGACCTTAAGGATTTAATGGCGGAATGTTTCAAACAAGAAGGCGGCGATAGCACCCAGAAATTCGAAAAGGCTGATATTTTGGAAGTCACCGTTGAGCATTTGCGCAAATTGAAGGCCCAAAAACAACAAATCAACCAAAACAATCTCAGTGCCCAACAGAGTTTCCGTTCCGGTTATATTCAGGCTGCCAATGAAGTATCTCGTTGCATGGCTACCCTGCCCAATATTGATGTTGGCTTTGGCACCAAACTAATGACCCATTTGGGATTGCGTTTAAGTCAATTGGAATCACCACAGGAACAACCGTTGGCTGTTAGCACCCCCTTGACAGTTGCCTGTGCCAGTTCTCAATCGACTGCCGCTTCTGCCATGTACAGCCCAGTGTCAAGTGGTTATGCCAGTGATTGTGATTCTTCATCCTCGTCAGCATCATCTAGTTCCCGTTCACCAGTTCTAACACAACACAAACAAGGATTATTACAAGTCAGCACAAATGCACCCGTTTGGCGTCCATGGTAATCCACCACAAACCATATTGCCACATCCATTTGAACACCAGCAGTGCTTTACCGTTCTTCCATATTAATGTTAAGAAAACGATCTCGTTTTAGTTTTTAAGTTCATTAACTAATTTTCGTAATTGATTGCTTTATTATTTTGTAATTATTTTTGTTAAATTATTATCTAAGGATATACCAAGATTTTTATGACGTTGAAGAAGAAGAGAAGATTGTTTGAGTAGCTTTATTAGTTAATTCAACTGTGATAGGGTCCTATTTTTGTGTGTTTGTTTTGTTTATGTCATCAAAACAAACAATTTCGATTTCATTGTCTAAAAACATCCAATAGACTACCATGTTATTGCCCGAAAAGAAAAAAAACAACAACAAGAAAAAATATATGAAAATATAATACACCATATAATTTGAAAACATAAACATGCAATTGTTGTCTTTATTTGTGGCTCTAAAGAGGGAGGTGGGTTAATACACGAAAATGGAAAATCATATATCCATTAAATAGAAGAAGAATGTTGATGTGTTTATACAAATATTTTGATATATCGAATTATTGTTTTTACGACAATTACCAGCCATGTTTATAGTGAATCATAATTGGAACATTCCAAACCCCTATACAATCTCAATAACTTCTGTGTTCTAGACAATTGTAAGGACAACAAAAATGTCAATTAAAATAGAATTGTTTACACAACATCAACTTGACACAATACAACATTTTTTAACATCTTCATAATAGTGTCATCTAAAATGTATTTTAGTATTATTTTATTTCCGTAAAATCTAAGCCCTGATAGACTTTAGAAAAAATATTCTTAAACAAATCCAAGCACTGATGGGCCTTCGAAGAAAAATCTTCAGAAATAATTTTATTAACACAAAAAATCTCATCTTCGAAAAGTCGTCCGTATTCGGAACGGTATCATTAATAGTCAGAAGTTCTGAGAGATATTAAACAAATCTACACATTGATATAATTTGAAAAAAACAAATTCTTTCAAAAATCCATGCTCGGTAAAAATATCACCTATTTTTTCTAACATCTTTACAATAGTGTCATCTAAAATGTATTTTAGTAAGAACTTGCAATTGAAAAACTGATCAAAAATATTTAATTAAAATAAACAATACTAGACCCACATGAAACAAATCTTTATATTTTCAGGTTCAGGTTAAAACAAAAAACAAAAATGGGAAATGAAGGTCCTATAAAACGCTGAACGAGCGAAGAAATGTGGATTTAACTCGCTCCATATTATGCATGTTAGCACCAGTAGAGGATGTTCGCCATTACAATAGCATGCTTAAAATGGTGAGGTAGAAAAATGTCACAATTGTAAAGTCCTCTCAGCGCAATGTTCACTCGAGAGACTACACTATAAATATGAGTTGCAAAATCTAATTTATTGTCTATAAGCTCTCCAAGAACCTCCAAAACCTCGACAAATTGTATAGGAATTCCATTATAATTTAAATCCCATACATTTGCATATAAAGGGAACAATAATGCCTTAGTTTTACTAACATTTACGCTGAGTTTGTTATATCTCATCCAACTAGTAACTAATGGCATGGTGTGATTAAGTTAGAATTGCATTTTATTCCAAGCATTTATCATTAATTCCAAATTTTGAATAAACCGCACAGGCAATAGATACAAGGAAAGCAGAAGGTATTGGGCATTCAACAAAACGTAAACCAATACGACCAGAGATGGTCCGTCAGAAACAGTGGCGCAAATGACATACCTTTCCAACGTATAATACATACGTCAGAAACCCACCCAAAATCATTAGGTGATTTTTACTACATTTATTACATTTATACCTGTAGTATATAACGTTTCCGACGTTGACAACTTTTTGACAGTCGAAAACCTAAAAATTCGTCACATGGATCACCCCTTAATATGGCCATTTTTCTATGCCGAAATCAAATCTAATCTAAAATGTATTATTTATGTGGTCGCAAGAAAATAGATTACAACAAAAATATGTTTTTAGAATAATTTCAATGACAATTTTTTTATTTTGAATTTTTCTCCAAAACCGTAAAATAATTATAAAGGTTCTTTAATAAAGTTGAAGAATCACACCCTAACATTTCCCGTTCCGTCCAGAACGGTGTTGTTATTGTAGAAAAATGATTCGAAATAAAAACTTCTTGGCGGGTACGACTCGAGTCGTCAGAACTGGAGGTCATGTTAGCGACAGAGCCTTCTTCTTAAATATGGCAATAATAAAATTCAAAATTTTCGCTTTAACGAATGTTCCTGACAATGCCGTGCTTTGGCAGCTGTCACAATGACACAAATCAAATATAGGATTCGTACTGCCTTTAAATAGTGATTAATAAATGAGAATTTCGGAATTAAATGCCATTTTAATAATTTGAAAATATTTGCTGTATTATGATTTATTGTCAATAATTCTGAGATTTTCAATCGATTATGAAATTGTTACAAATTCAGAAAATTATTTAAAAGCGGTTCCTAATAGATGATCGTCACATTAAATATACAAAATATTACTTGTATTCTCATCATAATTGAATTTAGTTAAAATTTTGCAAACATAAAATTAGTTATCTTATATTTGCAGTGTCATATTTATGTAAATATTCGCGTTGTAACAATTTTTATCAGGTGATATAGTTTAATTCCAATTTCATTACAACATTCTATTCAATGCCTATATTCCTCTAATTCAAAATAATTTTTATACAAAAATATCATATGAACAGAAACTGTACAGTTGAAGAAGATAATTTCTTAGACTTTCTTGTTGTAGTAACGCTGTAAAATTCTAAAAACAGTATAAAAAATGGATTTGAGTCATTGCACGGTAAGAGGAAGGCAGAAACATTCTTTCTGCAAAGTATTATTTTAGGAAATAAATCTAAATTGTGTAAATAAATTAAAATGTTACCTTCTATGTAATGTCCTAAAATTTAGAGTAAAAAAGCGTAAAAGCTATTTTTATTTTATAAGTTCTATCAAAAAATCTATATAAACTTTTCCTTTATAAGATTTGTATAGTAAATTTGTAAACATTAAGATATTATTGTAGCACTTGTCAGGAAAAATATTGATCTCAGAAAAGATATTCAAATTCATTTTATACATATTTAAAAAAATAGTTATTATAATGAGATATGTTTCCATTCAATAAATGTAAAGGTATTCGATAAATTGTAAAGATGAAAAAGTCACTTACTAGACAATACGTTGAAATCTGTAAAAATAAAAAAGAATTATAAAATAGATTATACAAAATCACACCCAGTTACATTATTTAATACATATTATACAGGTCAAAGGTTGTAGACCAAACGTCAAATGTAAAAATTCCCTAACCAACTAGCACTTCCACCCATTTCATTTAACAACAAAGCAATAATCAATATATTTTGTATTTAGTTTCCCCCTCCACAAAAACAAGCACTTATTGGGTTGACCATCAACAGACTGCAAGCAGGATAACAAAAAGTCACAACATTTGTTTTGGTATTTTAATGGGAAGCAAAAGTACCCAGAAAGGTATCAACAGGCTACTTTAGACACACTTAGCACACACGATCATTTAATTTACATGATGAATGCAACCAAGCAAGCAAGCAGCCAGTCAGCCATCCAGCCAACAGCAGAATTGCAACACGACCCTATTTTACCGTATAGCCAGCTAGGGCAATAAAAAGACACGGCAGACAGCAGCCACACCAAAAGAAAGGAACCCTAAAAGGATAAAAACGAGCATTCAATTAAATGATATTTTCCCACGGCAAGTGAAGGCCACAACTACTTCAGCAATTCATATACACACGGATCAATGAATAAGATTGCAACGCAATAAGTTATGTGTCTGTCTGTCCTGTCCTGTCCGTCTGTCTGTCTGTCTTCAATGAGCGAATGAATGAAATTCTAAAGGAAGCCCAAAATCCTTGGCATACAATTTTCCAACAACAACAACTACAAAAAACGAAAGCAACAAGCAGCCTTGCACTTAAACTGGACCAAGAACAATCTGATTAACCCAAAATAAGACGAACAGACAGAAAGACGGACGGACGGATAGCATAACAATTTTCGCTGAGCTCAACAATCAAGTTGGCAAGGAAGAAATTGCGACAGCTGCAAACGTAATCCTTGAGAAAGGATGGACGGACAAAATGCATGTGTTTAACGAACAAATGAAAAACACCGTGTGAGAAACTTGGTCTCAGCTATGTTCCCACGGCCACGAGCCATAAGTTTTTTCTTTTTCATTTTCGTCCATCAAAAACATAAGGGAAAGAAAAGATCCTAACGACAAGGCGTACAATGATGATGGTGAGTTAGTTTGCAGCTGTCACTTTTTTCACAAACATAAAAAGGGAAGAAACCAAATCCAAGTATGGCTCTCCTACAAAGGAAATGTGCACAACAACAACAGCAGCAGCAGCAAATGTATGCCAAGCGAAGTGTAAACACATGAGGGTTGTTTGTTCTTTACACTGGAGTAGAAGACTAAAATTAGCACAAGGAGAGAGAATGAGAGACTAAATTCTTATTATCCTCCAAAGGGAAGAGAGTCCAGGGTATAAAAGCCACCACTGCATGAGGAATCCACATCATTTTACAAATATCTCTTCAAGAGTAAAGATCCACAAAATAAAATTCAAAACAAAATGGAATACGCCACAAAAACTGAAATCTATCAGAAAATCAAAAAACCTCTATTGGAACGTCAAAGACGTGCTCGCATCAACAAATCGTTGGATGGTCTTAAACAGCTGATGATCGATCTGAATGGTGATAGTAAAATTTTACGCATGGACAAGGCTGAGATGTTGGAGACAACCATAACGTTCCTGCAGTCATATAACAAGAAAATTAAATCGAGTCAAAAACAGCAACAAATTCCCATGGATGCCTTCCGCAATGGATATATGAATGCTGTCAATGAAGTATCCCGTGTATTGGCCTCAACACCAGGAATGACTGTTGAAATGGGCAAATCCGTAATGAGTCATTTGGGACGGTCATACAATCGCTTACAACAACAATATCAAGAGCAACAACAACAACGACAACAGTCTACTTACCAGACAATGCAACAGCAGCCCTTAACCGTAGATTGTGCCCCCTTGAGTCCAGCTTCTTCAGGTTATCACAGTGATGATAGTTTAAGTCCTGTCAATTCACCTGTTGCTGCACCTTCTCAACAACCGCAACAACAACAAGTATGGAGACCATGGTAAAATTGCAAGTGCAAACACAAGCAGCAGCAATCAAAACCAAACATGAACGCGCACACACACATACACTGAAGTACCTCCAAGCACTACACTTAACACTTAAACTGTGATAATCTCAAACTGTGATACAACCTAAACCCAAAACTAGAAAATAAAAAATAGACATAAGAAAATAAATAAAATATTACAAATAATTATTTAACAAAAAATCTTTTCTTTCTACTTTGCAATACTCGACAATAGACAATAGGAATCAATTAGATTTTCCCTGCAATTCTTACCACACACACACATATCCATGCACAGCGCCACACAAAAGACGAGGCTTCCGTTTAGTCCAATAAGAAACTAAAGAAAAATAAAGAATTTTACACATTCACTTTTATTTTCACACACTAGATATATATCACTTTCACTTTTTAATGATTGTTTTTAATTGTTTTATTGTTATTTATTGTTAAATTCACTATTAAAATACACTAAATTTACGGAAGCACGAAATTTATTGCGCGTTTTTCTAATTTGCAAACTAACAACTGTGATGGCATTGCCAGATGTAAGTGTTGAGAGAGAAATGCCAGTATTGCTGAGAGAAACTTGAATAGTAACGTATAGCGCAACCATATTTTGCGTCAGAATAAAGGGTGTAACCTATTTTCTTCTATTCCATACATAATTGCAGTGTTCCCGTACTTTTTTTTAAATAGTCAAACAAAAAATCACTTTGAAGAATTTAAACATTCTCTTTCAGGAAGTTATTTTCGTAAGATAAAAAAGGGTAATTTCGCGGTTTTAGTAAAATATAAAATATATTGCAGATGAAGATAACGACTCGTTGCATTTGTTTTAATATATTCTGATATTTTAGCTCATAAGGTAAACGTGTATTTTCTCTTTGTTGACGAAAAATACCATACCTTGTATAATTGTGCCATGTTTCATTTTTTTGCAATAAATATGAATTTGTGAAGAATTTTTAAGAAATCTTCAGAGCAAAAATTGTGGATTTTTTAGACATTTTGTTAAAGAATATTCAGAACAACGTTCGTAGATTTTTTAATGAATCTTTTCCAGGAACAATCTAATTACGCAGAGTGAATGTTGTAAAGAATCCTTTCAAATTCTTTAGAGCAATTAGCGGCGATTTTTAAAGCCTTGTAGGGGATTTTTAAATATATGAACCTTCAGAGAAATAAACGTGTTTTTATTATAAATTATGTTTTTATGAAATATTAGGACAATAAACGTTTTTTTTTTTTAATTTAGAGCAAAAAGTGTTAATTTTTAAAGAAATATTTTTAAGATCAATTAGCTTGGATTTTTAATGAAATTTTTCAATAGCCCTAAGAGCAATAAATGTGAATTTCAAATTACTAGAATCCTAAGAGCAATTTACGTACATTTTTAAATTCCCGAATTCCTTCCTAGTTTCAATATTTTTTTCTTCCCTTCTATTCCGCAAAGATTTTTTAAACAAATACATGTTTTTCAATTGAATTTCAAAATCTGAATCCTCCCTACTGACTGTCACTTTGTTGTGGCAATGTCAAATGTTTATTGATTTTTTATTTTTCCCTGGCAACACTGCAAACATATGTTTTTCTCTGAATATCTAAATACTGGCAACACCGTCGGCATAGCAATTGAATGAAAAAAAGTACGGCGGAAAAACTTCAAATTTTCTGTGGAGCGGATGGATACGGGTGTATAATGTCGGTGAATATTACAGTCAATGGTAATTTTGTTACCAAACATTGCCAAAAGAATCCTTTGCTACTGGATCGTGAGAAAGCGAAAAAGGAATTGGAAGAGGAGAGAAGAAAGAAACGTTTGCTGCAGGTAAATATTGAAATTGAATCCTGTTTCACTTTAGTACTTTATTACAATTCCCTCCCAAACATTTTTTCAGGTTCGGCAGCAGTCCAAACAAATCGCCGAAAAGATACGCAATGATGTTAAGGAAACAAAACGCAAAGAATTACAAAAATACGAAGCAACAAAGGCTCAAGAGTTTGAAGCATGGCGTAAGGAGGCTCTGCAGCAGAATAAGAATGAATGCAATGAAGCCATATTCCAGCTAGGGGCAGCACATAAAGCTGCCAAAGCGGAAAATCAAGCGAGGGCCGAAAAACAAGCGGCAGCCACAGCCACTAAACCTCAAGGTTCGTATAAGGAGTTTAGAAAACAAATGGAAGCTCGCCGAAACAAAAATGAGAATTTACAAAAGGAAAAACCAGCACCAACAACAACCGTAAGCAGCAGTAAAGGGCAAAGTTGTTCGGAATGTCAGTACAAATGTAAATGTTATACAAGAGGTCAAGAAGAGGCACAAAAAAGGAAACGAGACTCCTGTTTATTTTCAAGTGACTCGGAAACACTTGGCAGTGACGAGGAAACATCTAATGAAGAGACCTTAAAGGATACTCCATCACTTACAAGTTTATCGCCATGTAAAACGCCTACAACTACAACAACCTTCAGCAATAACATAGCCACCCAAACTTCAATAATAAAACCCGAAAAGAATCTGAAACAAACTCCGGCAGTTTACATGGATGTGGAAGTGGGTACAGATGATTCGGTTCTAATTGCTGGACCGGTAGAAATAAAAGATAAACATGCTGAATACAATCGACAATTTAGCAGTGTAATAAGGGTCAGTCCTAATAATAAGAAATCGAAACAGAAAAAAGAAACACAGACAAACAAACAAGTTCAGGTTACATCGATTTCGACAACGACCACGTCAACAACTGAGGATAAAGAAAATTCCAATGATTGTAATAAAAACATTTCAATACCTCCATCTAAGACGAAAGAGAAACGTTTTACCCTAATATCGAACTTAGTAAAGAAACAAGAGGAACAACCTAAAAATTCTAAAGGTATATCACCCAGTAAAAAAAGAACCACCGAGGTGCAGCAACATAGTTCACCACGCAAGTTTATAGCAATGCCTGCACCGCTGACTAGACCTCCAGTGGCTCCTCCTATGTCCAAAGCAATGCCACCACAAAAGGAAAGTATTTCTTCAAAGGTTACCAGTAGAGGTCATCAACTAACCCAGCCAACAACCACAACAAAATCAATTTCTACAGCTTCAGCTAATACCGTTGCCATGGGCAGCCTGACCAGTAGTTGTGGACGAGTACAATTTTATGATTACAACAGTAAATTGAGCAAGGAGGGAACACAAAATTCGGCCAATGTTGAAGTTATACAGCAACGTGACACAGTACAACCAACAGCAATGGAACAGGCTGCTGTCGAAAATCGTTTGCAATATGATAGGCAACAGGATATGTTGGATAAACAGTAAGTGAGAAAGTAGTGTAAAGCACGTGGCGCTTCATCTTCATACATTCATCTTAGATTTCACCATAGTAACAAAAAAAGTATTTCAAATTTTAAGGGTTGTGTGAAAAAAGCTTACTAACGGAAGGTGTTCAGTTTTGATTATTTTATAAGGCAAATTCTTAGTAGGAACATTTTTTTTTTGCTAATTTGGGTCAAACATAAAAAAGTTCTTGGGATTTGTCATACAGGAAAAAGTTATATGGTCGTTTTCAAATGATTTATGCCGCCCATTACAAACATTTTTTAAGAATATTTTTCCAACGTCTAGCTGGCCTATTGGCGTAGGTTTTAAAAAATATTCGTTCAAGGGCTGGTGGGCTAATAGGCGTGCATTTTTAAAGAATATTTGTTTAAGGACTGGTAGGCAATAGACATTGACTTTTTAAAAATATTTTTCAAGGTCTAGCTGGTCAATTGGAGTGGGTTTTTAAGGAAAATTTGTTCCAGGACTAGTAGGCTAATAGGCGCTTTCAGGGACTAACAGGCCAATAGGGATGGATTTTTAAGAAATATTTTCAGGGACTAATAGACAGTCATTGTTTTTAAAAAAAAAATATTTTTTTCAGGGACTTAAATAACAATGATGATGATTCCAATAATTAATTAAAAAATATATTTATTTATGGACACGTGCAATTGGAACATAATTCCAAGGGAACCTGATGATAAATTTCAAATGATTCATATGGGTGCAAATTAGACGTTAAGCTAACAAGTTGACAGTTTCCACTGAGGTCGTTGTGCATAAGGAGTTGCTATGTTTTTAATGTGCATTATGATCAAATCAATCAAATGATTCATACTTTGTTATAGGCAGTATCAGTTGTCAATGATCCTCCATCAAATGGGTGCAAATTAGACGTTAAGCTAACAAGTTGACAGTTTCCACTGAGGTCGTTGTGCATAAGGAGTTGCTTTGTTTTTAATGTGCATTATGATCAAATCAATTGCGAATTTCACCACAAATCCTCATCAGTTATCCTGATATTTTTTATAATTTATTCCAAGTAGTCATTTATAGCTCAACTTATTTATTTATTTACAGGAAACAAATGATGGAAAGAGGCCAAAAGGCTTTGGAACGAGAGCAAGTACGACGGGACTGTAATGATCTCACTGAGAAGCTAGAAGCTCTGACAAAACAATATCCTCGACAAGTGCCAATAAATGTAAGTTTAATATTAGAAATATATGTATTACGGATCCAAAATCATTCACATAGATATTCGCAAAAATTTGTATTTTATATTATTTATCCGGGTTTATACCATTTTATTAAACCAACAATAATGCTTTAGGAAAACAATCCGCATATATTTGTCGATAAACAATTACGATTGGAGGGTAAAATGAATTCAGCGGTAGAAAAACTTCTCAGTAGACCACAAATTATTACCTGTTCCGAAATGGATGAGAGCGTTAAGAAACCCCAACAAGCAGCAGCAGTAAATAAACCTAAAATAAACAATGAAATAAATGTTGGAGCTTTCAACTCAAGTAATGATCATCAGGCTTATGATGATGTTGCTAGTGACAGTTGTTGCTCCATTCTACTGGGCTATGTTGATGATCAAAGCCGTCAAGTTCGTAAAGATCTGGAACAATGGTCGGATAAAGAAGATAGTCAAAAACAAAAACGTCTTAAAAATTTACTACAACGTCTTGACAAGCTGCGACATTCCATCATGCAGGAAATACAAAATAATAAAACTAATAAAAAGGACAAATCGAAATCGCCAACTACGAAAAGTGATGATAATTATCGCCAACTAATAGAAGATATATCAACTTTCCGTCAGGAAAGGGAAAATATTATGCTGGATGGAATTGAAATTCGAAAGGAGAAATCTTCAACGTGTAAGGAAAAGCAAATCACCAAGGAGTGTGATGAGAACAAACAAACAAAGAAACATTGCGATAAAAAGTTACTTGCCGAACGGGAAAAGCTCTTGGAACAAAAAGAAGCCATATTGGAGGAAAAGTTAAGGGAATTCTATGAGCTACAGAAACAAAATAATAAAACGCCCAAGCCAAAAATGGAAACAAAACCAAGCCAATCTCCCACTGAGAAAATTGCCAAAGGTGACGATGATAAGAACAAAGAAAATAAAGAAAATATCAACTGTAGTTCCTTGGAAACACCTGTGGAAATTATTATAACCGTTCAGGGTGAAACAAAATGTGTTAAAATACCACTTAAAAATAATAAAAAGAAAACGGGTCATAAGAAGCCATCTCCCACACACTTGGCTACATTAATTAAAAGTCCGCATGCCAAGGTGAGTAACAAAAAATTAACACCTAAAAAGGTTATACCTAGTAAAGAATCTACCACAAAGCCGGTACCCCCTTTGGTGAGACACAATTCCTATGATTCCAATTCCACATCCTATATGAGTTTACCTTCGCAAATTCCCACACAATTGGGAACTTTAGTGGACAGGACAACACAAAAGCAAATGCTACAGTATAATTCCGCAATGGAAACCTCTACAGAAACGGATGTGGATGATGGAAGGGAGGTTAATAAAAAGCCAGTACCTCATATCAATCCTCTAGTTGCTCAATATGTCCAACGACTTTTGGGTATGTCACGCAAAACAATACAACGTTTAGCTGTAAGTTCTTCAGACATTGAGACGCCTAGCTCCTCGATCATTAACACTTCGGGTAATAATAGCCCCAGCAATTCATTGCTTTCGGATGAGCGTATGGCTTTTGTTGAAAGTTTTGTACAAGAGAATCGAAGTTTCATAAAAGAATTGGAACAATCGATGAGAGCACAAAGTAATGCCTCATTAGAGGATAGTATGAAGGCATTCGATGACATTTGGCGTAAACGTTTAAAACAAAAACAACAAAATTCAAAATTCAATAAACCACTAGATCAAAGGAAAAATCATCAAGGGGATTTTAAAAAACTAAAAACTGCATCAAGTCCCAAAGCCGTTAGGTGTCAGAAAAAGGAAACCTCAAAGGAGGAAATACAAAGTAAAGAAATAAGCAGTCAATCGAAACATAACGAGAAGCAGCATTCCATGCCCAAGGGAATCACAAAACTTGCCAACAAATATCCTGTGAACTTAGAACATTCCACTGGGGAAACCGAAAGTAGCCCAGAAATGCTGGAAAAACTTAAAGCGAAATCCAAGCAAAGACTTTCAACTAAAGTAGACAAAGCTGTTGAAACGAAGTTATCCCAAGATCACAATAAATCGGAATCTGACTCACAAATAGCTCGTTATGCTCAATTGACGGAAAACTGCACACATCGTATTGCCGAACTGACAGAGCTCATTAACCGTGTGCGTGAGGAAAAACAAAGATTGCTGGAGGTTACCCTTAGTTCGGTCAGTGACAATGGTAGGCAATCAACGGAATATTTAGAATTGCCCGAGGGTAAGAGCCGCACGAGTAACCATAATGAAGGTGAATCGAGCATGGCCAGTAGCACTGAAGAAGTTACTGCAACTACTGCCAAATCCGCACCCACTTTGGGGGATAAGAACCAACCACTCCAATTATCCAATGTAGATAAGAATCATCCAATAGCTGCTAGTCGGGATAGTGGTATTGCAGAATCCAGACCCATCACTGCTCAAGAGCTTCGCCTAGATCTTGAACCAATATCGCAAACCTCAACCACAGAATCACACGGTGCCACGCAACACCGTAAAACTAAACCTCCACCTACCTTGCGAAGATTTAGTCCACAATTCCGTGAAGAAGATTTGGTTCATGAATTGTCGACCATTTTAGAAGTGGATACACCAGCAAATTCACGTATAAATACAGCGGCAAGTCAAAAATCGGAGGAACAAATTACAGTGGCCAGGGAAATGGAGACATCTCAGCAGAACCATGAACCGGTAAAGTTTCCCACATTCGAAGAATATGTACAGCGTATGAATTTGGATATAACACAACTTGATACGGAACAAAGTTCTTTATTGAAAGCCGAATTTTCTCATTTCCTTGAGGATATGCAGAGGAGTCGTCTAAATGGAAATAGTAAGTATTTAAAGTTTAAAATTGTAGGGGAAATTTACTAAAATGTTCTGTCTTTTTTCTTCTTCTAGAACATCCTTCTCCACCCCAATATAATGAATTCCCCTCCATTAACGGTTACTTAAATCAAACCAAACCCGAAATAACGGATCAAACAGAACTAATGGAAGATTCATTGGCACAGCTGCGTATAAATGATCTGAAGCCAAAAACTTTTCCACCTGTACGCGAATATGTAAAACAGAAATATAAAGAAAATGCGAATGATGGTGGATCCAATGCACACTCACCTGATGATCCTCAGATGTTATTGGATACCGAAAGCTTAGAAAATATCACCGATATTGTAACCAATACCGAAAGTGAATCAGCATCATTGGATATTGAGAAAGAACTGAAACAACGTAAAATTCTAAAGCACTCATTTCGCTATACAAAACCCAAAGAAATATTCTCATCCACTGCCCATCATGATGTGGGTGAATTCTATCAAGAATTAATGGGTTGTGAGAGTGGCATTGAAAGATTATCTACCTCGGAAACAACAACAACACAACTGGAAACCGATCTGAAAAGAATGGTTAATCAGTGGTCCAAAGAGAACAAAGATAAGCCACAACAATATCAGTCTTTAAGCAGTACAACAACAAGTTCATCCGCAGTTGAAAAGTTAGCAAAGGTAAATTGGTAATGACTCAAAATGTTTCAAAGTTAAATTGTGTTTTTTTCGTCTTCTTTGTAGTCTACTTCTTTAGATGAATCGTCTAATGAAAATGGACGCCCCTTAAATTTACGCGACTTTTTGAAACGTGAACTGCTGAAACATCCAAATTTCTCCACATCAAGTTCAACAACATCCAGTATTGATGATTCACTGCGTAGTCAATTCTTACATTCTTTAATTGGTTCCTTAACGCCACGTACAAATGCAGCCACCAGTAAATCAGGACAGCACACATTAGATCGCCAAAAGACTTCAACTCCCGTACCGGGTCATTCATCGCAAACTCGTTCCACACCAGGTACTGGAGAGAATCCCTTAAATACAACAAGTTCACAATTGTTTTCGGGTGAAAGTCATATATCATCGGTGCATGGTTGTGATCGTTCGAAAAATGCTGCCCGTTCAAATGTAAGTGAATCGGGGAATCAAAGTTCGGAATAGCAAATGTGTGGCAGATATAATTTTACTGTTATTGCAATTTCGTTTAAAGTGAAAATCCGACAAAGGAATTGAGAAGAAGGTAAGTTTATTATTTTTCTTTTAATGTTGGGTATACAATATTTTTCGGTTAATTGCACATCAAAATTTGCACAAATTTTTGTTCAATTAACCGAGGAACCAATTATCCGAACCCGCTTAATTGAATAGTTTGTTCAATTACAGTAATCACGTATAATTGGAACTACTAATGATTTAAAAAAATTCAATATCAAATACAAATTACGCATTCTCGCAGTTTTTCCTTAGCAATAAACATATGTTTTGAATTTGTAGAGATGTCACCTAGTCTTTTTCACAAATTATGTCAAATATGTATGTAAAAAATGGCAGATTATTTTTCAATTATTATTATGCAATTAACCGGTGAAAAGTAAAAGGAAATTTATTTTTGATGACATGAAATTTGAATCAATTAAGCGCAGCAGGGTTTAATTATCCGAGATAATTTACATGTATTTCCTATGAAATATTTTTTGCCCCATCATGTGGTTCAATTAAGCGTGGAAACCAATTAACCGTAGGGCCAATTAACCGAAAAATACTGTATATGTATTTTATAGTAGGATACAGTGGATTTGCACTCAGAATATGTTTTCATGAGAGAAAATAATTAAGTTTCAGGGATATTAAATATTTTCAAACTTTTCAAAATTTTGTTTAAACACTTAAAAACAAAGTCTAAAATTTCAAATTTATATTAGTAATATGCCAAAGGTTTAAAATCAGATGTAGTGAAAGTAATTAGTAATTAGTGTATCGGAAGTATGTTTAGAGAATAAATTAGAGTTTTATGATTTTAACAATGGTGAACTCCAGACATAAAGACAACTTATAGAAGGCCACAAAAGGGCCTTCGTTCTAAAGGAGTCCTCCCATGGATTTTTTATCAACAAGACCTCTGAAGTTTATTCTATCCATAGGAGGCTTCCGATCGACATAATGAGTCGAGAACATTTGAACAAATTGAGAAGGAGTCTGACAGTAAAAGAGGGTCTGACAGTAAATGGTGAGAAGACCAAGCTGATGGTTTTAACGCACAAGACTTCCAGTAGACTCCGACCAACTTTGGGACTTGAAAACTACAGCTTCGAGGTAGTTAAAGATTTTATATACCTCTGTACCGCCATAAATAAAACTAATGACATCAGTTTTGAAAATCGGAGAAGAATAGTGTTGGCCAACAGATTCTACTACGGTCTAAGTCGGAATGCCTGCTCCAAACCCTAGAAGAATATCCAAACCTGCCAGAATACTGATCTGAGAACTGCAACAGGGTATCTCCTCCTGTCGACCATCTTCATCGACACAATTACATGTTGCTTGGGTGCTATCATTGGGAACACCCCTGCCATAGTCTTATGGACAGGACACTTCCGCCCAGACACGTCAGGAAAGATCTTCATTATCTAGAGAGAGAGGTCCAAAGCTATAAGCGTGAACCCCTAGATCAAGAAGCCTATCAAGCAGGTCTGAATTGTATTCACACGGAAGCAGTCACTCAAGATCATTTTTCATTTACAATTTTTTGACGTTTCCTTTTGTCATTCTTCGTTATTGTTTACTTTGTTGCGACGGTGTTGCCCTATTTTCGATTTAGTTTGCGAATGCGTTTGCGTGAGCGTTACAGAGTACGAAATTGTACTCTTTACGCATTTAGCTTTCGCATCGCACTTGCTTTCGCAACGCAATACAGAGTAACCCCCCTGATCTGAGAACTGCAACAGGGTGTCTCCTCCTGTCGACCATCTTCATCGACACAATTACATGTTGCTTGGGTGCTATCATCGGGAACACTCCTGCCATAGTCTTATGGACAGGACTCCTCCGCCCAGACACGTCAGGAAAGATCTTCATTATCTAGAGAGAGAGGTCCAAAGCTATAAGCGTGAACCCCTAGATCAAGAAGCCTATTAAGCAGGTCTGAATTGTATTCACACGGACGCAGTCGCTCAGGCATTAGAGCAATATCTATGGACGCAACCCGTTCAAGTTGCAACTTTCTTGATTTTGGAGGTAGAGGAAGGAACCTGTCAATGAACGACACACCACATGTATTCTGTTGCTAATTGCGCAAGCAGGTGAGGCAGGTCTTGGAGTGTTTAAGAGAAAACTTCTCCGAAAGATTTACGGGCCGATCTGTGCGACGGTGAATATTGTCGTCGAATGAACCACGTGCTTTACCATCTAAACACGGACATCGACATAGTCAGTCGTATTGACCTGCAGCGGTGCAACGGTGGCTAGGCCATGTTGTGCGAATGTATGAAGATGTCCCAGCTCAAAAGGCATATAAAAACGAGCCTACCGATGATGGTTCACGCAGAAGTGAAAGGTCATGAATTCGATGGAGGAACAATTGGAGGACGATATATTATAGCACGGTCTTTCAAATTGGAAAAACTGCGCACAAGATCGACGCGTCTGGAAATCTTTGATCAGATGAAATTTCTTGTCAGATATTGTATTCGGTTCTTTGTCAAGCGATAAATATTAGAATAGAATAGTCAGAAAATACGGGCATGTGTCCAAACTATGTGTCGAAATGTACTGACTTTGGGCCCATAATTAGGATTCCGGAACTGATGAGATTTAGATTGAAATTTAAAACACTGAAGGCCCTTAGTTGTGTCACAATGGAATGTGTTTGTATAGATAAACATTCCACTATTCAAAATTTCAGGATGATGGGTTTAAGACCTTATTGTACCTGAGGCTGATTATTGCTTCGGAGACCGTTTTCAGCGATCTGCAATGCAATGCTTTAACAGTTTGCGACAAAAATGAACATTTTCAAAATAAAGTGCCTTACGAGGTGGTAGAGCCTTTAAAACTTTTTTTCACTTTCGGATTTTAGCTCCGGAACGAATTAAATTCGACTCAGCCAGGGATAAATTCCGCAAAAGCTGTACCAAACGAAATACGAAAATAGTGAATGCTTCGGATAACATTTATCTCGCTTCATTGCACTAGGAGCAGTGTTAATAAGGTTTCCAGTAGTTAATAAGGTTTCCAGTGTTAATAAGGTTTCCAGTATTTTACAATTAATATTTTTTGACTGAAGAATGTTAAAAACCCTATGAAAATATATTCTTCTTCATTTTGTAATTTCCAGACATTCCACCATCACCATCCCTCTGCATTCCACGCCAATATATTACCTCGTTAAATCTATGGAAATGTTTTTTTTAGATTAATTTATTTGTATAAGTTTAGATATAAAATATATATTTTTAAATAATTAGATCGACGTGTATAGGAAAGCATGCATTAAATTTTATTACATAATTGTTATGTTTATGTTCAAACAGGCAACAATGTTCACTATTTAACGAATGTATCCTTTATTAGTCTTTCAATTAAATTTTTAATTGTGGCAAATGTTCAAAGTTTCCATAAAAAAATAAAGAAAGAATTGTGTTAATAGTGACTCTTGAATAAACCCCAAAATGCCGACAACAATTTTCGGAAATAGTGCAAATGAATGTTATCTGTTGTATGAATGTTTTTAGATAAAAGTTTTTTATTTTATCTTCAATTTTTGTATACATAAAAAATGCTATAATTTATTTATTATTTTGATTGCAATTTGTTTCTATAAATAATAGTCGCGAGATTTTATCTTATTTATTACAGGAGATAATGTTGTTCTTTTTTTATATATTTTTGGTATCAAAATGCGATCATATTAACTTAAAAAAATAAAACGAATACATATTTATCTTAATAATAATTTTAGATAATTTGTTATATATAAAAAACAATACACACATTTGGATTATGACAAAAACAAAATTAGTAATAAAATTCGGATATGCTCTTATAATAATTTAAAAAAAAAAACATAATAATAATAAATATCTAAATTTGATTTAAAATCAATTCCCTTAATGTGGTTTCTTCTTTAGAATTTAAAATGTTTTTTTTTCATATAAGTACTTAATTCCAGTAAAACAAATATGTGTATAACACTTAAAGTACTTTTTAAGTAAATCGGTTTTATTTTTCAGCACCATGATAGGCTTTACTGGCAATCTTCTTTAGCGTTTCTGCCTCACTTCCTGTTGCTTCGACCATTTGTCGTAAGGCACCGTTGGGATTACGTAGTAGTACATAGGGTATATCGAATTCTTTGGCTTGACCAGCATCCATAACCAATATTCGATCGCTATCCATAACAGTTTGTAAACGATGAGCTACAGTCAGAACTGTACAATGTTTGAATTTAATGCGTATTGTTTGCTGTATTAGAGCATCGGTTCTGGAAAACGAAATAAAATATTATTAGAAAATAACCAGTCTTTGAAAGGACCTCTTTCTATAAAAGACCTTCAAGGGGATTTCTAGAGAAAGCGTTTAAAAGGATTTCAACAGCACATCTCAATTGGAAGAAACCCTCTTATATATTTCTTGAACATTTTCCGAAGGACTAATCCCCTGGTCCGTTTTTATGGAAACTTTCTTTAAGATTTTTCAATCTGTAGTAGATCTTTGATGGGTATTCTGTCTATAGATACCTCCTAAATATCTTCTATACATTAAATAACAACGAAGATCTTCAATGCATAAAATACTTTCAGGAAGGTATTCGATAGGAAACGTCCAAAGGGATTTCTATCTTCAGAAGACATCCGAAGGAATTTGAGTCTATAACAAAGTGTTACAGCGAAGTGTAGGCCTACGAAAGGTATGCTATCTATAGAGCGAGCACCTTCTTATTCAATAAGTAGGTGAAGGGTCTACATTACATAGGGGAACTTCGAAGTATTTTCTATCTAGTTACCTTTAAAGTGTCTATTTTTAAAGGGCTTTTGAAAATTCTGATGTTGGAGATTTCCTCCTCCGAAAGGCTTTCGACCTATAGGAAGTATCCGAAGTTCCTTCTACCTATTAAATACATTCGAAGGAAAGACCTACATGTTTTCTAAGGGTATTTGATGTATAGATAACCGATAGTTCTTCTATCTACAGAACGCCATTCTATATCAGACTTTCAAAGTCTGACACTTCGAAGGTCTCAATACGAGGCGGAAATGTCTTCAATCTATGAAAAACCTCCGAAGTGTTTTCATTCTATAGAAGACCTCCGAGGGGATTTCTATTAGTAATATTCAAATTGTCTTCTGTTTAAATGAGACCTCCGAAGGTTATTCATTATATAGAAAACCTCCCAAGAATCTATTAAGAAAATTCAAATTGTCTTTTGTCTATATGAAACCTCCGAAGAGTCTTCATTATATAGGAGACATCCCAAAAATCTTCATGCTATGGAAGACCTAGAAGAACTCGAAAGGACGTTCTGAATCTATGGATATTATATTTGAATGTTTTCAATCTATAACAAATCGGTAGCGATTTCTTTGAGAGGTGCTACAATTTTACTTACTGTGGATCCACATTAGCGGTGGCCTCATCTAGCACCAATATTTTATTATTTCGCAAAACAGCACGGGCCAAACAGATCAGCTGACGCTGACCAACACTAAAATTACTGCCGCGTTCGGTAACCAGGAAATCTAGACCAGGTATGGCGCTTTTCAATTCCACCTTAAATTTGTTTTAAAAATTAGATTTTATATTTTCAAACCCCAAAATATTAACATTTACCTCCTCCAATGCCTTCCATATATCAGCATCCGAATATTTTTCAAATGGATCTAAATTATAACGTATTGTTGCCGAAAACAACACCGGATCTTGCGGTATAATTGAGATTTTCGAACGCAACGATTCACGTGTTATTGTACCCGTATCGATGCCATCGATTATTACACCACCCTCAATATAAGCCAAACGAAACAGCACACCTATTAGTGAGGATTTACCAGCACCTGTACGTCCCACAATGCCCACCTTCCAGCCTGGTTGTATGGTCAAATTTAAATTCTTCAATACTGCTTCACCGTTCGGATCATATCGGCAAGACATGTTGCGGAATTCAATGAGACCATGTGTGGGCCAACTAATGGGCGGCTGTTTTGTTTCAGTGCATTCTTTTTCCAAATCGGTGTATTGTAGGACACGCTCGACGCTGGTCATTTGTTGTAGAGATTCGGCTACTTGGCGTACACCGTACTGCACCATGCCGGTTAGGATCATTGCTTGGGATATGGCTAAGCCCACGTTGCCGCTATAGGTTTCTGGGAGAATAAAGCCCTTAAAAATTAGATATTTCTAATCGTACAGATTTATACTTACGCCCACTGATAATAATAAAACTAAAGGTTACACAGGTCAGGAAACAACAGCTAACACAATCCAACCACAAACCCAGTGCGGTATTTGAAGCCATGGTTAATTGCCATACACCACTGTGTACATCCTGCAATTGATCAAATTCCTTGGCCACAGTGTCTTGTAAATTTCGAGATCTTATTGTTGCCAAACCGGTTAGCGAAGCCGACAAGTGAGAAAAGACCGGACTACGACCTGTAAAGTTGTTAAATAATTATTTTTTGATGTAATTTTTGCCTCAACACTTATACTTACATATACCCTCCAAACGTTTTAAATCCTGCGATGGTCTCAAGTATATTTTCAATATCAAACAATCGATTAGAGTCACCACAGCAATGGCCAACATCAGTATTGGGTTAACAACACATATCACCACCAATATACCAAACATTACCAAGGCAATTTGTATAAAATCCATCATGGATTTGGGTAAAAATTCGTCAATTGCTCCCATATCTTTGGAAAAGCGATTTAGTATCCGTCCGGATGGATTTTGATCAAAGAATCGCATGGCAGCATTCAAAATCGAACTAAACATTCGATCGTGTAGAACTTTAGAGGCATGCATGCACACTTTGAAGAAAAGGAAGCCACGAAAAACGGTCATCTGTTGTAAGGAGAAACAAATATAAATGGGGATATTCTTTATATGACTTCAAGACCTTCAACAATACTTCTCCATTTTTGAAGATTTTTTTTTCCATTCAAAAAATATTTAGACTCACCACAACAACACCAATAATAAGAGCACCATAAATATAAAGGCATTCATATGTTGTCAATACCGTAGTCTCATTAATGGAACGCAAATATTCCTGTTGCGTCCAAATATTTACAAAATAATCCGAACCACTGCAGACGACTTGAGACATCAGCATTACGAAAACCATAAAACTAAAACCCATGAGGGTACTGCCAGCACGGAAATATTCCAACCAAACACGGCCACTGACACCACCTTCAGCCTGTTCTTCTTCCATTTCTTTGCTCTCAGATTCATCACGTTCGGCACTTTCCTTTTAATATAAACAAAAATAAATTTCAAATAGATCCAAAATCAAAAAACCAAAAACTTACCGATTTCTTTACCATTGAACCATCCATAGTACTACTTTTTCTTCTCACCGCTTGGTAGCCTGGCGATTCTTGTTGTCCATCTATGTAGGGTATATCATCATCATCCTCATATAAGCTATTGTCTTCCGAAATTACACCATTTGGACTGGCCGTTTGTTGTCTATCCAAAAGTTTGGCAAAATCCAATTCACTTGATAGCAAATCACTATAGGTACCCTGACGGGAAACTTTACCATTTTCCACAATGACAATCCAATCAGCCTCATTAAGGAAATGTATTTGATGTGTTACCAAAATCCGTGTGGCCTTTTCACCAGCCAAACGACTCTTGGGACCTATTACCTCATCGAATAAATGACGTCCCACATGGGCATCTACGGCACTTAGAGGATCATCCAAGAGATAGATATTTGCTGGTTTATAAATTGCCCGAGCTAAACTTATTCTTGCTCTTTGGCCACCAGACAGTGAGGCACCACGTTCTCCAACCACAGTCTTGTCGCCATTATGCAATTGTTGGAAATCCGTCGATAAAGCACAACATTTGGTAATCTCATCATAACGTTTGCGATTGAATTCCTCACCGAAAAGTATGTTGTTGCGTACGGTACCGGTAAATAGCCAAGGTTCCTGGGCAGCATATGAAATGTTACCCTGTATCTCTACGTCGCCATGGGTCAAAGGCAGCTCTCCCAAAATCAATTGGATAATGGAACTCTGAAGTGGATAGATTATAAAATGAGGTAACATAAAGTTAAATGGAACACCTACCTTGCCAGCACCGACAGGCCCAATAATGGCACACAGCTGACCCTTGGGTATCACCAAATCAATATTCTGTAAAGTTTTCTGTGGCTTCAAGTTATCCCAATTCGCCGACACATTTTTTAGCGTCACCGCATGTTTATCACCCTCAATATTGCTTTTGTACACCAAACCTGGGGTATTTTCTTCACAACCTTCCATTTTCAAAAATATTTGCACACGTTTTAGGGATACCAAAGCCTCAGCACCAAATGACACAGCCAAAGGATACCAAATTGCCGCCACCAATTGGAAAATGTTATAATAACCAGCCATGGAAAAAACAATATCAGCCGAAACAGCACTACCCAGCAATACAGCAGCTGCTATTGTTATATACAACGTGGAACGTTCGGTAAAGACCATGGTACTCAAATAGAACCCTCTCAAATAGGAGGCATAACGAATTTGTTTAACCTCACGGCGACGTGCCTCCTTGACCACATTCTGGAATGGTTTTTCCCAGGCATACATTTTTATCACCTGTATACCCTGGACCAATTCGTTCATTATGCCAACACGAGCATCTGTGCGTTCGGCGATTTTCATGCGCAATTTAGAGGCTAGCTTACTGAGGCCAGTTTGTACGGGTATTGTTTTTAGCAAAAGGCCTACCACACCCACAACTGCAGCCACACCAATTTTCGTCCATATTAAATAACAAATTAGCACCGATTGCAATGGCAGAATCCATATCCAATGGACAAATATGAAACCGTAATCCAAACGATTGACATCGTTCGAAAGTAAATTAATGAGATACCCTGCCGGGGTTTGACCAGCTGCCTTCATCGAAAGGCTGATGGTCTGGAAGAGAGAAAAAATATATAGTGAAAATAATATTGAGTTTATTGTTCTATAGACCCACCTTACGATATATAAGCGAACAGCAGGCAATACGCATTCGTGCACCCATTAGTCTTTGCCTCAAGTCCACGTGATGTATGAGAAAACAACCGATAAGAGTTGATACTACCAATATTGCTCCCAAACAGTGAACATCATTCCACAAGAAATCTATAACAGTATTATATTCTGGCGGATTACTTGGTTCTGCTGTTACCGAACTGAAATTATTCGTCGCGAGTAGTTTACCATCATCAGGTGGTAATAGATTGGGATTTGCTGAAATTGAAAAAAATGAAATGGCAAGTGTTGAGTTATGAAATTTGTAGTCATGAAGAATAATAAATATTTTTTTCTTTACAGATGGGTTCTATTATGGATATCCGGGAAATATCGTTATGTACTATCAAATGAAGGTTTGAAAATTAATATTTCAGTGGAAGTAAAAGATGTTTGTTTGGAAACGTAGCATGAATTCTCAATTCATGTAGGCCAATTTAAATGTATGTTTATTAATGAAAAGCTGAAGGGACATTTTTTAAATACAAACTGAAGGCGCAAGCCAAAGAAAGGAAGCCGATAGTAGGATGAGCTAAATTCAGGTGGCTTTAAACACGTTGCGGGCAGGGAGTCAATTATAAAAAAGCATGTGACCAGTGAGTCCATTATTGTCCGAATGCCAGATGTTTTGTTATAGATGGTCGGGTAAGATCTTCGTCTCCTCATGAAAATGGTCCACAGGAGTCATGAGGAGACACCATTTTGCAGTTCTCAGGGCAGCATTCTGGCAGTTCTGGATATTCTTCCACTGCATATCACTAACATTCGCGAACCATAGCGCCGCATAGCTTACCACTGACCGGCCTATTGCATTTTAAGAGGTCAACAAGGTTTCTTTGTCAGCTTATCGCATAAAGCAGTGGCTTGCGCAGACGACTTTAAAAGGCTGTCGAACGTTATTCCCAGTATCTTGAGGTAGTTGGTGTCGGAATCAGTTCTTCATCGACCGTCCATGTGGTGAACTGTGTGGCTGTTGATTTTGTGGCGGATATTTTCATATTCCTCAGATGGAAGAAATTAACAACATCGGCTATGTAGAAGTTTAACCTCTCACATATGTTAGTTTATATAAGGTACTATTATATAGAAAATCTATAAAACGATTTCTACATTTATAAAACTTCTATGGTGATCTATAAAAGAAATACTTTTCCTATGAAAGTCTGAAGAATATCCTTCTATGTTCATATTATGAACCCCGTTCTTGAACATTTAAAAACCTATCACTTCAATCTCCATTACCCTTTGTCATTTGATATTGCTGCTATTTTTTTTCTTCTGTTTCTAGAGAAATTTATTTATATTTGTATGTATGTTGTGCATGCATTGTTTAAACAATTCAATTACTTACAGCCATCATTATTGTTTTGATTAATATCTATAGAACGGACATTTCGATCAAGAGTCCCATTTCCATTAAAAAGCATTGTCGTTGGCATCGACGACGACACATCTTCATCACCATTCAGTGTAAATGTTTTGCTGGAGTCATTGATAATTGGTGGTGTTGTAGTCTTCTGGAATTGCAGTAATAATTGAGCTAATACGGCGGGTATAAGTGATCTGTAATAGAATATAAATGCAATGAAAAAAAATAATAATAATAAACAATAACAGCAACAACAATAATATAAATATGATATGCTATCAATATCATATTCACATGACTGAACAGCAGACAGTATTACAAATTCCTAAGGAAAAAAATTGTAAAATAATAATGCATGACCATAGCAACATTCATGTAGTCAGGATTTGAGTTTATTGATCTTTCAAAAAGAGGGGAGGGGTTCATTGAATAAATTGATTAATAATTTATAGTTTTTAGTGTTCGTTCCCAAAGTCTAATAACAGCTTTTGATGTCCACATAAATTGTTATACTTACTTAATAGTAATGTAAATTAAACAGATAAGACCATCGACAATGGCCGAACGCCAAAATGTCTTCAAAATGGCAGTGCGTAATAGTGGTTCACGATTTTGAGCCCGAGATTTTTCCACTTCCTTATACCAATTTCTGAAAATTGAGATGAAGATTACGAAATACAAATATTATCAGGAAATTCAAAGTTCTCAAAAATTTGTTTATATTAATATTTACCTCTCCAATTGATCGCCCAACTCTTCGGAATAATCTTCTGGCAAGCATTTTGTAAGATCTTCGGTATTTAAGCCTTGGCGACAACCTTTGTACAGCATCGGTATGGACCAGCCAAATATTAATTGTGAAAATATATTTGCTAATCGCCGTGGATTTTCTTTCTGAGGTTTCTTTGAACTGTCCATGGTAACGGTGGTATTTTAAAAACTGAAATAAAAATACAATTGATAATACAATAAATAAACTATTCCAGACAAAGGTGTGTCCTTATCGTAAAGGTAATAAAGTTTAAATTATGTTTGAATATTAACTAATAAATATTTATTATAATTGCAGATTTGTTTGATCTTGACATGAACAATTTATAAATAACAAAATGTATGTTGCTGGTCTCAGAGCTCGCAAGAAACGTCTCATAACCTGGATACTACACGCAGTACAATAAAATAGAAGAGAGATCGTATGTAAGTACTCCAAAAGTTATAGACTTTTTTAATAATTTTTAATAAAAAAAGCGTGGATTTTTTAAATATTTTTTTTGACTCCTTATAAGGCGTGAATTTTTTAAACAATTTTTTTTCGACATATAAAGCGTGGATTTAGAATGAAGTATTATAGACAAGCTTTAAGCTCTGGAGTAATTTATAGGAATGGGGTCAGATAGTATTTTTTAAACGAGCTGGAAACTTTAAGAGCTAGAACTTAAAAACAAGGAGTGTTTAAACAATCCGAAGGTAATGTTTTTAGTAGATGAACAGAGAGTCTATTATATTCGGCCTAAAACTTTTTTGAGAGAAATAAACGATCCCAACAAAATCAGCGGCAAGGAATTCCTTCGGATTAAAAACACCTTATGGTGGTGAGAAAGTATGCAAGTGAATACCCTCAGAAGGCCATTAACGAACTTGTTAAGGCTTCTACCAAGGCAGTGACTAATGATACCCACAAGTCTTAGCAAAAAAGTCAGTCTATCACAGCAACTTCAGTGGAAGCTGTACCAATGAATGTCAACTTTAGCCTTTTTAGGCTAATGTCGGCAGAGAAACTACAACCTGCTGTCTCGTATGCATCAATAGCGGTTAAGAAGGAGTCTTCGTAGAAAGCCGTCACTAAAAAGAAATGATGCGAAAACTTCACAAATGATCCCAGATAAACTCTTTGTTCCATCATTGACAAAACTGCCTAGACGAAAACATACAGTATTTTATAGACGGGATGAAGGCCAGAGATTCCATATTAGGCGAATTAATGAAAGGAAGTCGAAAGTAGAAGAGTTTATGGATGGAAGATATTAGATAGGAACTGAAGGACAGCTAGTCTATTAAAGACTAACTATAATAGATAAGTTAAATAAAATCGGAAGTCCATTTTAGACAAATTGTCGGCCAGGATGATTTATATTACTTATTAATTGAAGGCAAGGGAGTCTGAAATAGACGAGCTTTAGGCTGGGACTTTGTTATAGATGAGGTCAAGGAGTCCTTTGTAGAAGGATTTTATCTATTATAGTCTATTATAATCAACCTGAAGGCAAGAGATTTATACTAAATGAGGGAGATATAAAAAAACTAAATTGAACGCAGTGATTTTTAATAGATGAGCTGGTCAATCTAATAAAAAAGAATAGTTGTTTAAAATGAGAACATTTTTAGATTATGGTATTAAATGAGACCAACTTTTTGTTTTCTATGATACAATGTTTGGTCTTCTATAAGAAGATTTTTTTTAATTTTTATTTTTTTCACATTTCACAATTAGTTGCCCTATTTCCTTTTTTCAAGTTTAGACCCATTTACAGACATTTATAAGCTGCCATATCTAATCTCCATACGCTGCACACTGTTTGCCGTCTGCGGCAGTCATCATTCGAAATTATGGCATGGTTGTAATTATTGATATAAAACCAATGTGTCAACAAATATGTCACACTAAACGTGTCACTGACCTACAATAAGGTTATATCAAGTCCATGTGAATCAGGCTGAATTGTGTTATTAAAAATAAAAATAGATTTTGAGTAATTGCAAGATTTTGAAATAGATTTTGAGTATTTGCAAGAAAGAGAAATGAATTGTTCGAACGTATTTCTCAGACTTTTATAAAATTTAATTTCTTTGAAGAAAGTGCTTGGCTTTGAAGATCAATATGTCTTATGTGTATATTAGTATCTTAATATGTAATTTAATTTTATTTTAATTTATACATTTGTGGTCTGTTTATAAATTATTAGATCAGTTTTATATTTTTCACTTTATGTAAGTAAGATTGATGTAGTTTATTGACCTATGCTGGCCAATATATAACTCTTTTTTCCAATTACTTTTAGAAGATCTTAAATTGGATTATAACTGGGTAAAAGTTCAAAATTAAACATGAGCTGTATTTCTCTTTTCCATATTATTTTTCAAATAGGAAGTAAACTAAAAGCAATATACATTATTTCACATAATTTATATATTTGTTTTGTTATAAATATATTTGTAATAATTGTTTTGTGTGCACGTATTTATGTGACTATTGCCCGCAGACTGATGTAAATATTAATCTTTACAAACAGTAGTAATATGTATATATGTTTGTGTGCATGTACAATATTTATAAAACAATCCATTCGCTTGCAAACAAGATTAAATTGATGAAGAAGCAACAACAACAAAAAATAGCTTATCATTTCATGATGTTTCAACGGGCTTGTTTCGCATTGTTCACAACCGCTTCTATTTCCCCCTCTGGCTCTTTACATTTCTAATAGCGAAGCAGAGGTGGCCTTGTGAGTTGTAACCTATTTTTTTTTTTTTTTTTTTTTTTTGTAATAATAAGGTTCCCATTTACTTTTTCTCTGTGTATGGAATGCAAAATGGAATTATTGAAGTCCCAATGAAATGGAAATAAAAAAAAGAGAGAATCGACAGGTTATTGTTTTTTAATCTAAAAGTTTATGTTCATTGATAATTAATCAATTGTTTTAAATAGATACCTTCTACAGTGGGTTAGATAATAGTTTTTGGTTAGAAGATAATTCTAATTTATGTTACACATTTAATTTTGCTTTAACACCTAAATTAAGTTCCATTTAAAATTACAATTTCATCATCCGAATCGGATTTCATTTTAAAGCGAATCTACATGATGCTCCTCAGTAAAATACCTTTTGATTATTTGTAAAGCTATTGTTTTCAATCCAGCCATGATAACATTTTTTAGACCACGTCTTAGTTCAATGACATTCGAGAAAAAATGCTTCGCAGTAAAAAATAATACATTTACAAGTATATATTTATATTTTATAATCTATTTACGATTTTTATTTCTATTGGCATGGCTTATCATGTCTAAATGTTAGCGAAATTTTATAATACACAAACATATATTTATATCAGACTTTATAAATGTCATGTCTGCATAGAATATTGAACTGCATTTTATGTTCAAAGAAAACTTTGACCGCTATGTTATTTTGTTATTGAAAAAATATTAGGCAATTTAAATCGGGATGTTATTTTAGCCACAATTTCAGAGAATATAATCCACTAATAAGTTATATAAAATTATGATAATCCTAAATTCGTTCATTTTCTATATTATGCATCACCTGTTCTCAGGAACATAAAAACTTATTTCTATTTATTATTTGTTTTTCAAAATAATTTATTACAAAAATTGTTTCATTGATCTTTGATTTGCCATAGGGAAACCGATAGTGGATCAGATTACGACGAATTTCCTTTTCCTAATCTAGATATATTACATTGTGTGAAAAAAACCGGCAAAACTCATGCACAATTATGACAAGGCGGTAATAAATCAAAATGTCTACGGCGCTATATCATTTAGAGTCATTGACCTATTAAACATTATATAAAAGTGAGGTTAATGATACTTCCACGCATATGCATTATTTTATTTTACATGTATACTTTTACTAAGCTTAAAAAGATTTCCAGGCGCATCGATCTTGTGCGCAGCTCTTCAAAATTTTCTTTCTCTTCTTTCCACCGAATTTCTGGCCTTCCCCTTCTACGTCAACCATCAGTTGGCTCGCTTTTATATGCCTTTTGAGCTGGGGCATCTTCATCCATTCTCACAACATGACCTAGCCAACGTAGTCGCTGCAGTTCGATGCGTCTGACTATTTCGTTGTTTTAGAATATAGAATTTGGTTCATTCGACGGTGATATTCACCGTCGACGCAGATAGACCCATAGTTCTTCGTTTAAATTTTCTCTCAAAAACTCCAAGAGCTGCCGCATCTGCTTGCGAGAGTAGCCATACTTCTGATCCATACTTTTTATTTTTGTATACCCTCAACCTTATGGCTAATGAGGGTATATAAAAAATGTGCCTCATCGAAATATTGGTATTAGACCACAAATCGAAATATTGGTTTGGAACAAATCCGTATCAGAAATTTTGGAGTCGATTTACAAAAGTACATCCATTGTCCATCTGTCTGGTTGGTGCCAATCCAAACTTTGCACATCTTAATATTTCTTCCAAACTTAGTTTAAATTCTAAGATGGGGAATATCGGTCCACTCCATCTGGTACCTCCCCAACAAAATGGTCAAAATTGTGCTAAAACTAATTTTATAATAACATTCAAACGGACTATTCGATTTTAAAGAAACTTTGTACAGCCTATTATCTTTACCAAGCCTAGATCAAGTAGGAAGATGAGACTAATTGGCCCCTCCTTCTGGTACCTCCCACACAGAGCGTCAAACATTTCAATATTTTTAAATCCAAAACCAGGCTAATGGAATGTCCAATTTGAACCAAACTTTGCACAACCTATTATCTTTACCAAGCCTAGATCAAGTTTGAAGATGGGACCCATTGGTCCCACAACATTTTGAATGTTTGGAATGTCCGATTTGAACCCAATTTTGCATAACCTATTTTATTAACCATACCTAGTGGTACCTCCCCCACAGAGCGTCAACAATTTCAAAAATTTAAAATCCAAAATCACAAATGATTTGAACCAAACTTTGCACAACCTATTATTTACTTGTTTTGAATGACCGACTGACAGTTTTTTACTTGTTTTGGATTAATAAATTATTTTTGTTGAGCTGTTTTGGTCAGGTAATTATTATGAAAATAAAACAATTTTTAATTCATATTTTGCTCGACGTTTTGTATGGGGTTTACCATCATTTTCCAAAGCTGATTTATTAATCTATTATCAAAATAAAAATGTAATTTCTTTCATTATATTCCGAATATTGATTGCACTTATTTTAAACTTACTTTAGTTATTTTTCATTTTGTCTATTATTTACTTATATTAAAAAACGGGACTCCATAACATTTGTATAATAAAAATAAATAATAAATCAATTATTTTTTAATCAGAAGAAAACATTCAGATAAAAAACATCTACTACCTTTTAGTAAGCCCATGTATTTCAAAAACGATTAGTTCCGACAATTTTAAGTTTGCCATTAAAAAAAAAGTCCCTCGCACATGCAACAGTTGTCATTCGTTTGAAAAAAGCTAAATTCTTATTTTTTGCTTAAAAAAAAATAGTTATACTTTGGTATGTCGTCATAGCCAGACAATTAAGAAAGAGTCAATGAAACGCCACACGAATAACAAATTCTGCACACTCAAGCATACTTACATTTCTATAACATTTGGAGGGATAATTTTGTTAGTTTTTTTCAGTTGTTAGTGTTGCTCTGCTCTCCGCTCTTTGTTGCTATTGGTGACTCTTTGATGTGACGTTTGGCGCTTGATTTCTTTGATTTTTTTGTTTGACCGAGTTTCCCGCTATACTCTCACATGTGTACAACGTCGCACTATGAATGGATTTTTGTATCTTTTGGTTATTTATTTATTTTTTAGTTTTGTATTAATTTTATTTTTGTTTCATTCTCTTTTATTATTTTCGGCGTATTCGTCGTCTTCTTCTTTTTCGGTTTGGATATAGGTAATTAAATTGTGTAATGGCAGAAAATCAATTGCTGCTGTCACACGACGACTTTCTTCAATTAGAATCTATTCGAAATTAAAATATTAAAATCAATTATTCAAATACATTTCATCATGAATTAAACTTGATTCAGTAAACTTTCATTATCAATTGGAATCTTTTGAAATAAATTCAGAGATTTTATTATTTTTTCCACATTACACATGTACTTTTTCTTCTATCTGCCAATACAACAACAGGTTATTTACTTCTTTGCGTGACGCGTTTCTCAATACTATATGGAGACCTTTTATATTATTTTTTTTCTATCTTACAATACCGCTGATTCCAATTTTTCCCCAACGTACTTTTTTCTTGCACCGTACCAGTCTGCCAAACCTCCACTCTCGAACGCGTTCCGACAACAACTAATTTGCAATTTGTTGAAAATGTAAAAAGTTAGCAATGAGTAAACATCAATCGAACATGTATTGGTTGACTGTTGATTGTACAACATGTTGGTTGTTCATGATGTTCGATTGGTTTGGCTATGTTTTGAGTTGCAATACAAACATTGAATGTGTTTTCATTACCGGCTTTTGTTGTTACAAAAAAAAAATTAAAACAGCTGTGTGATAGCTCTCTCTCACAGGTAAGAAAGGTGAAACTGACACATGATAGGTCTGAAAACCGAAACAATAAAGAACAAAAGTTTTATAATTTCAAACTATAACAATATTAATTTCTGATAGAAGAATTTCTAACGGGCATTTAAAATAACAAATTTTGAACACAACATTTTGTATTTTAAATTTACATTAAAGGCAAGGTTAAAAAATATTTTTTTTATATTATGGAGTTCATTTATTTGGAGTTTATTTAGATAAATTAAACATTTTTAGAATACATTTTATGGCTTAGTTTATAAAATTTAACTTATTATAAAGTGTGAGTTTTTTTGCGGAAATTTAAAATAACTTTTTTTGTAATAAATATATATGAAAGAAATTACATTAGTTATGTTTGAAATGATTTTTAAATTTAAAAAAAAATTTTTTGACGAAAGAAAACTATCACAGGCGTGGATTTAAAAAAATGAATAAAAGTTTACAATGACATAGTTAAAAAAATATGCACAATTTTTGTTGTTAAAAAGCAAGCCAAAGTGGTTTACGCATATAGTATGAACAAGATTGCCATATACAAAAATGTGGTTTCGGGTCGGAAAAATATTAAACCAAGATTTTATGAGCGCTGTTCAAAGGTGCCCCACGTTCAAAGGTGCCCCCCTCTCCCCTATATTCTTGATAAGTGTAAAATTCTAATACGATATAGCCATGTCCGTCCGTTCATCTATTGTAATCACGCTATCTTCTGAAGGAATTGAGATGGGGTGCTGAAATTCTGCATAGAGTTGTCTTTTGTTTGCAGGCTGGTCATGTTCGAAGATGGGCTATATCGGTCAACGTCTAGGCATTGCCCCACATAAGGATGCCGCCCAATTTTCCATATTTTGGGGTTCATAAGCGCGCTTTTTAACCAAATTCGCAGAAATTTGGCACCTTGTGTCATTTTTGGGTACCAAATGTCTCCACTAAAAATTATAAATATCGGTCCACTTTTTCTGGTAGCCCCCATACAACGGTACATCCTAATTTTCAGTATTTTGGGGGTTTCAAGCGCGTTTTTAAACCGAATTCGCTGAAATTTGGGTACCAAATCTCTTCACTAAAAATTATACCATTTTTTCGGGTAGCCCCCATATAAGACACCCTCAATTTTCGGTATTTTGGGGTTCTTAAGCACAAATCTTCCTACCAAAAATTATTAATATTCGCCCCCTTTTAGGCGTAGTTCTCATATAACACCCTTCTTATATTAAAATAGTTAGCTGTATTGCACCATAGTATAGGGGATAGTCGTTACTCGAAATAGTCCGTTATCTTGATAAAAAAACTCGAACCTCCGATAATGAAATATATCGGCCAGCATTTAATAATTATAATTATACCTCCCGAAGGAAAGAATTGAGACACAAAACAAACATATATGATATTCGAAATTGTCATATGTCGGTCATTAATTAGACATAGCCCTCATATAACTATAACCCCAAATATTCGCTAATTCCTATACTATGTAAACTAACTTTGTTATCTAAATTGCAGAAGTTTGAGGATGGTATACTCTTTGAAAATATTCAAAGACCTTGTCACAAAATTTGGAAAATATTTTAATGTGTGGTTTTTAAATTTTTTGAAAATATTCAAAGGCTTTCGCCTTTTAGACTGACATATTAAACAAGTCTGAGGAGTCTGCAATTATCGAATTCAAAACATCGCCCATGAATACCTAGTATCCCAAAAAATGTCAATATCCTTTTAAAATCACGTACAGTTGTCGTTTTTTGTTATTATTCGCCTATTATTTGTCTAAAACACCTGTTTGCTTGCTACCTAACACCAAGCCAGGTTTTTAAAAAACAAACAAACATTTTAAATATTCCCACCCCTGGCATCCATGATTTTTTTCTCTCCCTCTCATTCCAAAAAAAAGAGTGTCTTAAGACCAGAATATCAAAGGCAACATTTTATAAATATTGTACAATGTATCGCCTTTTTCTTCGTAAATTCTTTTGAACGCATTTTAACGAACCTTTTCGTTCTTCGTGTTTGTGTTGGTTTTTTCTGTATTTCTTCCATACATATTTGAGTGTTCAGAGTAAATGGGCAAGTGGTATTATGTGGTAGTTGGCGCTCGTACGGCTATCGGACGGTGTTGTTGAATTCAAAATCATGAAAATTTCGTTAACATTTCGGTGTTCCTTGACAGCCACAGATACGATTAAGAAACGAACGTAACAACATCACAAGGATGAAAATCATCCGCCGCGTATTTTGCCGAGACTTCTGAGTGCACGAATTACGAAATTAGTGTGTGTCTGTGAATCAATCGGTCTTTTTGGGTTATTGTGAAATCTTCAAATCTCAACTGGAGTGTCGAGAATAATCTTCGGAATTCGTTTTGTAGTATTTAGCGGATGTGTATATAAACTGATTGAAAGAAGATAACAGTATCGGCAGAAAATAAGACTGAAGATCGAAGTTTTAATTTTTGAAAATTTAAAAATAATAGAATTGGTTTATATTCGATCATAAAAGTAAAGTTTTTTTTTGTATTCCGTTTTGTCAACGTCATTCCCGTGGGGCTTGTCTGTCATTTCGATCGAACTCGCAAAATTCGCTGCATAAAAATCTGCTATATTTTTGGTGGTGTTGTTCTTGTTATTATTTTTTTTTTTTTTTAATTTAATAAAAATTCGTATACGCATAAAAAACGAAGGAGGAATTGATTGGAAATTTTGCTGTATTAGCAATTAACCGGTGAAATCAGATATTGCCCATTGCACACATATTTGAATGAAGGTCTGAAAAAATACTCAACATAAATGGAAAAAATGCTAGCCAATAGTACGCATAAAAATCGCAAGGTAACATTGCTAATGTCGAATGTGTGTAATTTTGTAAAGAATTTGTGGTTGAGATTATTATTGGCCCTAACGGAAATACGCAAATATCACAGTTACCCAAATAAGTATGTTCAGTTCAAAGAGAATGGTCAAAATCATAATTATCAGCAGCATCAGCAACAACAAAAACATCATCAAAGTGTGTTGAAGAAAATACCGGAAGTTAAAGGATTACCAGTGGTCGGAACATTATTTCATTTATTAGCAGCCGGAGCAGCACCAAAGTGAGTTAAAAAAATATTTTTTAAATAAATTAATTTGATTTGATCTTTTTTACATACGTTAGAGTTGTTTTATTTGTAAAGGAGTCCTGATATTTATTGAAGAGGTATTCGTTTTATAGAAGAGGGTTTATTGAAGATGTATATTTATTGGAGAATTTTGAAGTGGACTTCTATGTGATTTATTCCCGGCTATCTGAAATCTATTTTTATCTTTTAACACATTTTATTATACAAGAAACTATATTGAGAATTGCATAAGCTTTTTTTTGCGCATTTTATTTGGATAACAAATTTCTTCAATGTCTTTTGCATTTGTTTTTGTTTTTTGTTGTAAAATAGTATTTGTCCACAGGCTTAAAAAAAACAAAATAAAATGAAACAAATCTGGGTCAAATACACACCCCCTCACCCCTGAAAAAATTCCAACAATTTTAAACAAAAATATTCAATTTCGTCGCACCTAGAAAAAAATGCAATATCATTTGTCTGCGGAAAAATGGTGCAAAACAAGCGCGAAGTTCTATGGAAAATTGACCAAAAAAGTTCGATGCTCTTTGAAGAATCGAACAAAACAAAATACAGAGTAATTTTTATTTTCATTTGTTGCTATGAAAAAAATATAAAATTGAAAGCAGCAAAACGTGACAATCGTTTTCAATAATTTCATAATCCATCATTTCGTAGTAACGGCGATGAGTGTTTTAAATGAATGTTAAATTTGAAATAAGGGTCTTCTTTTCTAGGCTTGTAGATTGATATTTAAGATATTGCCAATTTTAATTTAACCCTTTCAGACCCAAAGACATTCATATTTTTTTCTGATGTATTTGTAGAAAAAAATTGAAACAGGAGTCACATGTTAAAAGTACGTCCTAAAGGGATAACAAAGCAATACATAAATAATAAAAATGAATTAACAGGTCCATATTCACGTTTATACTACCTTCATTTTGTCAGATCTTACAGTTGATTAAGCTGGCTTTGAATGGATTAAATCTAGAAACCCCCAAATTCCATACGCAAGGCACATATATTAGGTAGTCGCATCGGCGAATTACTACAACAAATCAATTGTTTTGGTAACATAATATGTCAACATGTGTAAACAAGGCACAAGGCCTATATAAAGGGCCCCATACACTATAAATCATGTCGTCATGCCGATGAACCCCTTTTGGTATATGTGAGACTGATTAGTGTATGGCAAACTCTTCAATCACTATTCCAAAAAATCGATTTTTATCCCAAAAAATGAATTATGAGTCGTAAATTAAGTTGTTTTTTTTTTATTCCTTCACAATTTTATTATTTTTGTACACAAAATTATTTACTGACAACTTTCAAAATGAATATTATTCACCAGATTGATAGGGTTTCATTTTCAAAATCAAAACTATTTTGATTTTCTTCATGCATTGTGTGTGTCACACATACATAAATAAACTTTCAAAAAATAACACATACTATGATAAATGCTGTACGGCATGATGTATAGTGTATGGGGCCCTTAAGGTCGGCCAGTAAGCGAATTCATAGAAAAAAACTTAAGTTTAACGTCATTTTTTTTTTGCTGAAGCGAAAACTAATTGCTTCGCCTTTAAATGAAAAACACAGCCAAAAAACAACACAATCTATAATTTGTATGATAATTTACTTGAAAATCTTCTTTAAAAGACGATATAAATAAAAATTGAATTGAATATTGATAAAATATTAATATTTTCGTTTTGATGTCTAACATAATTTTGTATGTATGTATAGGTTTCAAAATATATATTATATTATTTATTTATTTTTTTTTTATTTATTCATTTCAAAGCCAAGCCAAAAAGCCTTATATGGCCAGTATACTACAAAATAAACTTAGACAAAATTAAAAATATAAATTTTAAACACTAGCATTTCTTTTCATGTTACATTTGTTCAAGCTCCATAAATATTCAATAAAAGTAATAGAAAAAAATCATTTGAATAAGAACTACTCTGAATTGATTTACAAAAACATTAAAGTAAAATATTAAGTAATTACAGAAATTTATCTTCAGTATTCAACTACTCAAAATAAACAAATTAAATTGTATGAAAATAACTCATACCTTATTATTGCCTTAACAAGGCAAATAAAACTGAATTCGCCTTGACATTTCAAAATTTAGGCAAATTTAATTCAACCAATCAGAACAAAATGTTTTAATACCCTACACATCTATGTTAAAACTATGTGTTGCCTCAATAGTTTGTAGCTGCACTACTCCTAGACTCAAGTTTTTATATCGTTTATCATCTGTCCGTCTGTCCATTATAATTTGTAATATGATTATCATGATCCGAATCAAATGGTGATTGAAAAAATTATCTTCTGAAAACACAACATTAGCACTATTTTGAATAAACGATTCAGTATGTGTCGGCATCTTTCAATAATTTCCCTCGATGAATTCTGGAAATTTCGTATATACATACGGTTCTGGCATAAAAGGTCGTTTACATTGAATCGGATTTGGTTAACCGAGTTAGTTTATTTTTTCAAAAAGTAAACAAATATTTTTACTAATATTTCAAAATGTTGAATTCTGATTGGTTGAATTTAATTTGCCTCAAGTTTTGTATGTCACGGACAATCATTTATTTTTCGCCTTGTTAACAATTTTGACATATCATGTTCCCAATTCGCCGATGCGGCTACCTTATATATCTACCTTTCCTGGGTCGATGCGACTACCTAATACATCTACCTTGTCCATACGTTTTCAATGCTCAACATTTCAAGATATACAAAAAATTATTTTCGTTTTATTTAAAATAAATTATATTTCAAATTTTGAATATTTGTATTTCCATCTTCCATCTTAAAAACTCATTTTTAGGTAGAAAAAAACATTAAATTTTAAAAAAGTTGCATTATTCACATAAATGTAGTTGTAAAACAGCTGGAACGAATAATATATTGAAGTTGATAATTGGTTTCATTGATAGTATTTTCAAAAGGATTTTCACGGTGGTTCGTCCTTTTTGTAGAGAAAACAATTCTGGCCCTTCTTGCCTCTTCAGCTGTAAAATAAACGCCTCGTCAGTACGTCTATTATCGATTCACTCACATAGACTTCATCTATAAAGAATGCCAACCTTCAGCTCTTCTATGAAAATTCCCTACTTTCAGCTTAAAAATCTCTCCTTTCAGTGAAGACAATTCTGGCCCCTCTGGCATTTTCAGCTGTTAAATAAACATCAGCCTTCAGCTCGTCTATGAAAACTCCCTTACTTCAGCATTAAAAATCTCCCTTCAGTTCGTCTCCAAAGTCTCCGTTCAGCTCTATAAAGTCTATCGTTATATCGTGTATAAAGACTCTCTTCAGATATTCTATACTTACTCCCTTCACATATTTTATAAGCACTTCAGCTCTTCTCCTCAGCAATCTAAAGGCACTGACTTCAGTTTGTATATAAAGATACCGTTCCACTCTTCAGCTGTATAATAGATTCCCAGATTTAGATCCTCTACCTGCCTTCATTTTCAAAAGTATCCATCAGTCTCGAAAGTCTCCATTCAGCTCGTACATAAAGTCTCCCGCAATATCGCGTATACAGGCTTTATTCAGATATTCAATACTGACTTCCATCAGATCGTTTATAAAAACTCCCGGCTACAACTTGTCTGTATAGAGTCCTCTCCACTCGCTTTAAAGACTACCTTCAGCTCTTCTCCTCAGCAGTCTATAAGCACTGACTTCAGTTCATCCATAAAGACTACGTTTCACTTTTCATCTGTATAATAAACTCCCTCGTCAGTATGTCTGTTATTGATTCGCCCATATAGACTTCATCTGTACAGAATGCCTTTAGATCCTCTACCTGCCTTCATCTATGAAGACTCCCCACCTTCAGGTATAAAATTTCCTTAATTTCATTTTTAAAAACACCCTTCAGCTCGTCTATAAAGTCTCCCGTCATATCGTGTATACAGACTCTCATTATATATATTTATACTGATCTCTTCCAGAAACGACTACAACTTGTCTATAAAAGCTTCAGCTTGTCGCTATTGACTCCTCTACACTCGCTTTAAAGGTTACCTTCTCAGCTCTTCTCTTCAGCAGTATGTAAACACTTCAGTTTGTCTATAAAGACTCCATACCACTCGCCAATAAAAACTCCGCTCAGCTCGTCTAAAAGGACTCCTTGTATATACCATCGGCTACTCTATAAAAACGCATTCCACTCATCTATAAACACTTCAGCTCTTTTCTTCAGCAGTCGATAAACACTGACTTCAGTTCCTCTATAAAACGGAGTCCACTCGTCCGTAAAGGCTCCATACCATTCGTCAAAAAAACACCGCTAAACTCGCCTATAAAGACTCCCTCTATATACCCCCCCGATTCGGCTACTCTATAAAAGCGTCCTTCCACTCATCTATAAACACATCAGCTCTTCTCTTCAGCAGTCGATAAACGCTGACTTCAGTTCGTCTATAAAGACTTCGTTACCCTTGTCTCCCACTCGAATCCCGATAAAAACTTCGCTCAGCTGGTCTAAAAAGACTCTTCTATGCTCTATTAAAAATTCTCAATGCAGCACGTCCTTCTCTGCTTATCTTTAAATTCTCCCTTCAAATCGCATGTAAAGACTTCCTTCAGACTCTATACAGATCTGTGTCTGTCTTTGTCTTTCATATAGACTTCCTACACCCTATATTTTGCTATTCAATTCAACTCCGACTGCGAACCTTTTCTACATCTTTCCATTATTTGCATATTTACCACTGTTGTTTTTTTAAGCTCAATCTGATTTTTTTTCTTAACGTATTTACCTTACCGATTTACATTTTAGGCTACACATCTACATAGACAAACGTCATCGACAATATGGCGACATCTTTCGCGAACGTTTGGGTGGTACTCAAGATGCCATATTCGTCTCCTCGGCACATTTAATGCGTTCAGTATTTCAGTATGAGGGTTCATATCCCAGGCATCCATTGCCCGATGCATGGATACTCTACAATCAAGAGCACAACTGTCAAAGGGGATTGTTTTTTATGTAAGTTGAAATAAAAAATAAAAAAAAATTAAAAATAAATCGAAAACAACAAGAATAAAATTTGAATATAAAATGTTATACAAATTGTTGTTGTTTTCATCTTCTTTAAAATACAGTTTTGTTGTTGCTGTGTGCCTTTTGTAATATTCATCCATTCCATTTGCAGGGAAGGCGAAGAATGGTTTCACAACCGCCGTCTTTTAAGTCGTATTCTGCTTAGCGGCAATTTGAATTGGATGGATTGGCATGTACGTCAATGTACCAATAAATTAATAAACAAATGGAAGCAAGCCTTGTTGGAAGTCAAAGAAAGTTCCGGTTATGAATGCATGATTGTGGATAATTTAGAACAGCAGCTATACAGATGGTCCATAGATGGTAAGTTTTTTTTCTTTTTTTAACAAGATTACAAAATTATTATGTTTCCGATCAGTTGTGCGTAGTTATTTTTAAGGTTCAGAATACGAATTAGGATTTCCTGCATTTGTCCCTGATATCTGTTCTGTATTTTGTTTAGATTTTGTTTCAAGAAATGCCTTATCGGATCAAAAATAAAAGAATAAAAATTAATGGAATACATTTTTAATATTTCATTTTTGTTCCGACTTCCCCATATTTAATTATATTCTTATTTCCCTTTATTTTTTTATTTGCCATATAACTTAAATCACTTGGTATTATATTTCACACCTGATAGTATTTCAAAATACGACGCGTGCAGCGGTTTTACTTAGCATATCAAATGTAAGAGCACATGGCATTGTTGGTGCTTATTATATTGTATTCGATTTCCAAATCGATCGCCTGACCTACCCGATTTTTTTTCATTGTCACGTTTTTATTTAAACTTTGCCAATAATAGAAGTGGAAACCTGTTGGAAATGAAACCAATATTTAAGTTTTTCAATAATTGAGAATCCATACATGGCTCTTTTTTGTATATATAAAACGTTTTCCTTATATATATATATATATATATACGATATTTGCATATTGAATTTCTAAACACCGGCAATAAATAAATGATATTCATAAAATTGTATAGAGTTCATATTCAATCTTTGCTTGATTTTGTAACATAACTGCTGTTTGTTTTAAGGTTATGAAACATTAAAATTTTTTTTGTTTGTCCTTGAACTACTTTTTGGATTATGGTCATTTATTTGAACATTTGCAAGAAAGAAATAACATAGAATTATTTCTTGTAAAAGTTCATATAAATGTCCGTAATCCAAAAAGTAGTTCAACAAAAACATTTTAACATTTAAAACCGTTTACAGAGGGGTCTACGATCCGAAACGACCCGAGTCATACTCGGCCAACATATGTCACCTCAACCCATTGTGTGCAATTGGGCTGCTACAAAAACAACATTTTAATACAACAGAGACTTTTCAAGCACCAACATATTTTTTTCACCTACCTACGTACGTCTTTAATGGTTGTCTGAGTTATTACAGAAATGATAAAACAAAAGCTTGGACTTAAAATTTAAACAACACGGCCTGGACCTTTTAAAAAATATGTATCAAAGGACAGAATATCGATTTTAAGGTGTATTTTTTCAAATGCAGAGGCAATACGTTTCACAAATTGTTATTACTGAACCTTTTGAGCTCTATCTTCTATATCATATTATTTCAAGGACTTTTTGAAAATGACTTATTAAATGGCCAACAGGACCGTGACTAATTATAAAAAGACCATCATAACCTTAACGTTTTTAAAGAATAGTTTTCCAGGTCCGAAAGTGTCCTTGGAGGACATAAACAGTTATAAAAATGTCTTCCGCTTCTCACAAAATTTATTCTCTAGGCAAGAATATCCTCATAAGAGGACATAAATAGTTATAAAAAAATGTCTTCCGATTCTCACAAAATTGATTTCAATATAACATTGTTTTTAAATTTAATAATGAATTAATTTTTTTTCAGTGGTCATATCCGTCATGTTTGGTACTACGGCCAGCGAAAAAGAAAACCCCAAACTACATTTGGCTGTAACAGATTTTTCAGAGATTGTACACAAAATATTCGAAAGTAGTTCGAAATTAATGAATTTCCCACCGAAAATAGCCAAAAAATATCGCATGAAAATATGGACAGATTTCGAAGACAGTGTACAACAGGCACTCTCTAAAGGATCGATTATCATTGATATGTATTTACAATTGTGTTCGGAATATCCGGATGGCCTGTATGGCAAACTAAAAGAATCTGAAACACCATTGGATATGATAAAGCGATTATTTGTAGATTTGGTGATTGCAGCTGGTGATACGGTAGGGAAATTAAACCAATTTTAAATAGTTTGTAAACTGTATACAATATTTATTTTCATTTATATATGTTTATATTTATGTTGTCCCTTCAGACTGCATTCTCCTCAGCCTGGGCCCTATATCTATTATCCAAAGATAATAAATTACAACAGAAAATCTATGAAGAACAACATGATCATAGCAATGTCCATGATATGCCCTTGGTTCGAGGTCTGGTCAAAGAAACTCTAAGACTGTATCCGGTGGCGCCATTTATTGGCCGTTATTTACCGGAAGATGCTAAAATTGATAAATATTTTATTAAAAAAGATGTAAGTCCGTAAAATATTTTACATACTTTTAATTAATATCCATTTTCTTCCTCAAGTCTTTGGTATTATTATCACTCTACACAGCCGGTCGTGATCCCAAACATTTTCCAGCGCCACTGGAGGTAATGCCTGAACGATGGTTACGTGATGAAAATACTGGTGATTATAAAGGCGTTTATAAACCGCATGCTAGTCTACCCTTTGCTATTGGCAATCGTTCCTGTATTGGTCGCAAATTGGCCCTATCGCAAATGCAATATTTAATATCTGAGGTATTATTGAATTAGACAAGCTTTTTGCAAATATCTTTATTTTTTATTTTTTCAGATAACCAAAAACTTTACAATGAGCTGTGAAAATACAACACCAATAGAAAGTATACTACGTTTGGTAACAGTACCAAATCAACCGTTAATATTGGGACTCTGTCCGCGTATCACATAATTTTAGTTAGTTTATAGTTGTCAGTTTTAGTTATAGCGCGTAATAGCATTAAGTCTAACATGGTTATGGAATAATTCAACAAAATTGCAATATTATTTATAAAGTTTATTCCATATATTGATGCAATTGTTTTATTAGATTTGTAGAATAATATTAGACGATTAGTGTATCGATTTTTTTAATAAAACTCTTAGTAAAGATTAGAAAAAGTAGAATGAAAATTGAAACAAAATAAAAACAAAATGTTATAATTGAAAAAATAAGATATTTCCCTTTTTTTAATAAAATACTATTTTTTCGGATTACATTAATACTAATATAAATAAGCCACGAAACGGAAAATTTTGTTTTAGAGGCTTTCATCTGTCTCTTCCAAATAAAACAAACTATTATCTATATTACATGGAAACACAACATACTTTATTAAATATCGTCCAATTACAATAATAAAAATGATATTACTATGATATGAGAGCCATTATGAAAATATAAATGACTGAAATGAAAAATAATGCAACAACACCATAAGAGGCTGAGCCCCAAAATATATAACCGATCAGCATTGTTAGAGCTATAAGTGCCAAGGTACGATAGGAGCCTAAAACCCGTAAACATAAACGGGCTGGTATATCTTCTTCACATAGTTCACTAACACCTGAAACACATTTCGAGACTATATGTTAAAAATGATATACATACATGCATATATAAAATATAGATAATTATTAGCAATAATGTGGCATACAAACCTCTGGGTTTTTCGAACCATTGTGCAGTCATGGGAGGGTATAACAATTGATGTGATAGTTTACCCAGAAAGTCTGGGCGACTCCAATATTTGTTAAATTGGTCGCCAAACTAAAAAAAAAAAATATTTTTCAAATTTTATTTTATTCCAAAAAGAAAATTTTTTCATTCCCATACCTTGTCATTTAACACACAGGAAACTTGATGTAATAATCTCACCAGTACCGTACATTCATGTGTTTGTATGGGTACTGTTGTGGGATCTATAGAAGAATTCATATGGGCCAAATTATTCATCATTTGTCGTGGCGATAACCGTGAAATATCCAAATAGTCACTGTTATCATATATTGAGAAATTTAGGCTCTTTGAGAAACTTTGTCCCACCACCGGTTCCAATTGTTCCATTGATATATTGGGCAGTTCAACCTAAGCAATTTTTGAGATCATTTCCTTAAACTTTATAAAAAATAAATATAAGACAACTTACATTAAACATTTGACTTAATGAGCGAACTGCTAAGTCAAGTATGTCAGGTATTTTACTAATCTCTTGTAATTTCAATTCCGATGGGTTCATATCGCTAAATACACTGCTGAATAGTTTCCTAAAGAAACCCAACGATTTACGACGTTCCATTTGTTCGCGTCGTATTGCACTAATCTCTTGGCCCACATACATCCGTGATATGTGTACAGTCTTTATGAATTGTTCGATTTCACATTTGATAGCAGTGCCGAACATGGGTGTATAGACATCTTCATGGTAAAAACTACCATCCCATTCAACAGAAGTAGAAGTAGTTGAGCTAAAATATTAATTGTTTTTTATTTAAATATTGTAATATACTGTATCGTAACAATACCAACCTTAGGAAAGTACTGTGTTTTCGGGGGGAATCAACAAAACCAATTGAATTGCCTGCATATGCTTTTTCAGCATTATAGAGTTTTTGTGGCAATGTCGATTGACTGAAGACCTGAAGGAAATAAGATAATTGAATTAATTATTCGCAAAAAATTATTGCACTTACCTTTACTAAACGATGTAACATAATTACATTACGCAGTGATGTAAAATCCAATCTCTCAAATCTAGGTAATATGTGCACAAATATTTGTGTATATATAACTAAGTTATCGGCTATGAATGAATCAAACCGACTGTTAATGGGTACCTCAATATTTGCTCCACTAGAAGGAAAAAATAAAAACAAAATTAATCACGATATTAAAAAAATAGTTATGTTCGATATAATAAAAAGTAACACATGTATATAAGGGACATTGCTCTAATAATGCAGTGTTTTCTTGTGAATGATGACACCTAATTTAACCTCAAAACTTTCCAATGCAGAAGCTATCCATTATCTTAAAATGTATATCTTTCGGTAAAAAATATCAGAAATCATGTAAATATTTTATAATTTTCTTGAAGGGAAATTGAACTATCCCTCCTTTAAATCGGCCTGACAGCAAACCAATTATCTCTTAATTCCCATAGAAGCCCATCCACAACATACTAACCACGAATTACATATATTCACTCTTTTTAAAATATATTGTAGAGGGTAGACTTTGAAATACATTTTTAATATACACATACCTATTATTTTGCCATTCAAATGTATAACGCCATGGCTGAATATAGCTAAGCCATAATTCCAAGACCACGGACATAGAACTATCCAATGGCCATCTACCAATTATACTCTTGATAAATGGATATATGCGTGGCTTCATCATTGGTTGGGCAATTTTACGTAACGTCGACATTGCAGTTTGATCCAAGTTGGCGGAATTCGCAAAGGAGTGCGTCTGTTTTATGAGTATACGGACAACACGTATAAATTCACTGCTTGGAAGATCCTAAAAAAAAAAACAAATAAATATTTGGTTATATATTTGTATTAGGCACTTATACACTTACCCTTGCCTCATCCACATCATATCTCAACCATGTATCAATAAAGAAATGCAAAACCGATTCGGTACGCCAAGCATGTGCCCTCGGCGATGTTTCAGTGCCACTACGTTGATTTATCTGTGACATATTATTCGATCCCGAACCATATAACGACTGATTCGTTTGGGGTATTTTCAAATATTTCGGTGAACGTTTTGGTTGTAGCTGTTGCACCGGCATTGGTTGTGGCGCCTTAACGCTCGAGCAAATATTACTTGGCATAACCATGGCATCTGGTCGACTGGGTAGGAAATTGCAAAGGTATTCGGCTGTCAGGAAAAAATACACAGTCTTCATGCGTTCATTGTGTACTTGCAGTGCAGCCGGATACATTTTGTGCAAAGGAAATGTGGCATGTATGACAAAATGCAACATATAATAATCGAAGGCATTTAAACTCAACGAAGTGACCTGTCTACGGAATGGATCTATATTAACCAAATCCGCATAGAACATGGAATACTGGCCCGAGTGTATTAACTCCACCATTTTGTGCTGTAAATTTCAAACATTTTAATTCATAACACCTTTACAATAAATCCGCAAAGCAACAACAACAACTTACCGGTAAATGTTCCAAAGACAATTCAAACTTGATTTGATCATTTAGTAAATTATAACATAAACGTAACATTGGTCCCATGGGTGCAAAGAAATTGTACAGGATATCAAAACATGGTGCGGAATTTTCTTTGGTTGTTGTTCGCAGACCCCATCCCAAGCCACCGGCGCCAATGCCAAAGACTGATTTCACAATGGTGGGAAAAAGTTCCTGCAGTTCTCGCAGATTACACCGCTCGAACAGTATATTTAACTCATGGCAACGATCAAATAGGGGGAAACTCAACAATTCCAATATGCGGTTCTGTAAATAAAATGGAAGAAAAAGCCGCCACAAAGCGGCAGCTGTTAATCCTTTTGTTCAACGACGCTGATGCTGCTGCGAATAACTTACCCCAATATTTTCATTATAGAAAGCCATAATTAAAATTCTTTATCAATATTTGTAAAATTGTATGTCAAGTATTTTTTCTGTATAAATATAAAACCATTAATTAAAAATTTGCCGAAATTAAAGAAATGTGTTTTTGTTTTGTTTGTGCGTTTAGTCGACTTCTTCTATTTCACTATAGTTGCGTTCCGTAAGATAAGTAAATCGACTTTCGACTAATCAACAACGGAAGAAAAAATTAAAAACGTTCCATCTGGTTACGAATGGGAGCAAGACAAAATGGCCGATTAAGTTTACGAATGATGTGGGAGGGAGACTAAATGGAAACCGTGTTGTTTACAACACATACACTCACAGCAGCTGCAATCAGAGAACCGAGCCATGCTGAAATGTCAATGTGTGACGGCGTTCGGAAAAAAGTGAAGAATCAAAACAACAAAACAAGAGAACGGCATAAACCAGAGTTTTATAGATCGAAAAAAGGAGTTAAGGTGCTAATGATCTAGAAATTGACTATAGTGAATGTTGGTTAGTCACAATTCAGATTAGACAAGTTTATTCCCTGAAGTTTTTATTTGTAGGAAAGAGGGGCAAGGGGAATAGAAATAGAAAAAAAAAATGCTTGTACCGGCAATTTTCTAGCAATTTGGTTTGTATATATAGCATTGTAGTGTCAGTAATTTCAAATACCAATACTAGTCCAGTACATTTTCAATGAGGTTATTTGTGTCTGTTTTATTCATATTTCTATTATTTCTTTCAATGCTCTTTTGTTTAATATTTATTTCCACAAACAACAAACTTTCACAAAACGTGAAAATAAAACAAACATTTTGAAACCGATTTGCCTTGTATAGACGCATGAAGCAACTTCAAGATAAAACGATAAAAATAGCCGCAAGTAAATTTGCATTATCTAAAGTGGGACTTGGTAAAAATAAAATAAATGTTAATAATTGTTCTATTTCAGAACCTGTAAGAATCTATACATGAATATTTACCAATTTACATTGTGTAAATTGGTAAGAAGTTTCAATTTAATTGCCGTTTTAGGCCCTCATACATCGAGTTTTCCACTACAGTTATTTTAAAAATTTCTCAAATGAGAAACTCGATCTGAGAAACCTATAGTTTAAAATATTTTCAGAATTGGGAACACGATAACTCCATGTGGTGTAGCATGGTATAATAATAGAAGGTAACAGCAAGTGTTGTTGTACAAAAAACGATACAACAACCACATAGAAATTTGTTGTTGTAAGTTCTGCTAGTGTCAACTCATTTGACAGAAAAATGTAAACAAACAAACAAATTATCATCAAATTATTTTTATTTTGAAAATGAAATATTTTCGAATCCTCAAAATAAAAATTGAAAAACATGAATGAAAATCTATCAAATTTATATTTCTATCGCTTCCACATCTTTCCTATAATTGAGTCATTGCCATATATATGTGTAACACATATGAAAATGCTGGGAATAGCGAGTTATTTCTTGAAGAAAGATTTGCTTCCTCAAACTTTCCCAGCAGGCAGTTTGAGTAAATTTAATACAGGAGCACATTTAATAAAGAACAATTTCAAATTGTATGCGTTCCCAATTTTCCTGTTGGGTGATTTTTAAAAACATAATTTGTCAAATTCATCTTGACACTAGTATTACGTTGGAATCAAATCAGCTGGGATTTGCTGTTACCTTTTATAATTGTACCATGGTGGTGTAGATTCCCCCCCTAGAAAATTAATTTTAAATTCTGATAATTATTCTAAATTTCCAGCTCTGGTGCGTTTGGTAAACAATCAGCTGTTTATATTTTTTTTATTCGATTGCGAGAACCCTTCCTTTTTTGATTACCTAACCTCTTCCATGCTTTAGCATTGCATTTGTTTTGATTCCCCGCATTTATCAGCTATTTTCTGTGATTCTTCTTTCTGCGGCATCAATTTTTCATGGAAACTTTGTAGTTCTCTTTCATACGCCGTTGATGCTGTGTTGTTATTTTCTCTCGGTGTGGCTGTTTTTGCGGATTGACCATTTGTTATTTGTTCGTTCCTTAACTAAATCTTTACGAAATGAAATTAAAAAATGTTACAAAAGTTAAGGGCAAACGAGACGTGGGCACCGATGGAGCTACACAGAAAATATCACAGATGACAGTTTCTCAATTGTCGAACGATGTGATATGGGAGGTAAGTTAACGATCATTAAGATGTATTTAACAACAAAACGTTTACCAATTCCAATGTCTCCCCATGTGTTTTTTGTTTAGGTTGCCTCCAAATATTGGTCACCCGATTCCCAGAACCATATGCCCTATAATCCGGATATCATTAAAGATATTTATCGTGCAGAAATTTTGGAACATCCCAATTCAACGAGGCGTATTGTTATGTTGGAGTTTAGCCAGTATTTGGAACAATACTTATGGCCGAACTATAAACGTGATGATGCCTCACATAGCCATGTTATGTCCATTGTTTATATGGTAAATGAAAAGTTTCGTGAACGTGTTGAAGTATGGAATACATTTGAACAAAAATCTGAGGAGTTCCCAGCATTCTTCCGGCAAGTACTGGAAAAATGTTTAGATAATTCGGGCCAGACTAAAGTGCGTGAGAAAACGGCATTGTTGGTGTTTTTAAATCACTGTTTCAATAGTATGGAAATTGAGTTGTGTCGGAATCAAGTGAAGCGTTTGGTTTCACTTTCGATGTGGAGTTGTTTGCAACCAAGTAAGTTTTACGAAATCCTATTTAAAATGTGTTGTTAATACATTTTTGAAATATATATTTTTTAGAACGCTTGGAGCAAGAGCTACGTGAAACTCCCGAATGGAAGCGCTATTGGAAGAAGCTTCAGAAAAAAGAGAAAAATGAGAAGAAACCCGAAGTAGAATGGGAACGTCATTTTCTACAAAATTTAATTAAACAATTTCTAAATATTTTGGAAAGTTTGCCACTGGATGGTCCCATCGATCCAAGCATTCTGCAATATTGTGAAAGATTTTTAGAGCTTATGATTGATTTGGAAGCGTTGTTGCCGACAAGACGTTTCTTTAATACTGTATTGGATGATACGCATTTGCTGGTGCGTGCACAAATTTGCAATTTGGTACAACGACCAGAGGGAAAACTTTTTGGACAGGTATGTAAGAAATTTTCTAATTTTCCTCTTATCGAAATAAGTAGAAAAATATGATAAAACGCAATGGTCAAATGATCAGTTTCATGTTTGGGTAATTCGTGGAAACGATGTAGGTGAGTGAGAAGAGAATTATCTCAAAAATCTTTTGATTCGCCTTGAATTTAAAGCAATATGTTACAGTAAAGTATACGTGATGTGATATTAGAAAGAAATTTGCTATCGACACTGCCGAAAATTATTAGAATTAGTAATTTGTTAATTGACCGTAGTGATACAGTGGCCTTTCCTCATATCATTGTGAAGGTAATATTCAAGGTTCAGAGATAGAACCCAAACGGGTTTTTTTTAACTTTTACTAAAAATATCATTCATGGGGCACTACGATGTATATTTCATTTACAAAATGGGCTACAGTAATAGTCGATGGCAGAGTGAATATCTGATTATAAAACGAAAGAACACTCCATGCATAGTAGATTTATGGAATTGCTAACTATTAAAAAGAAAGTTTCAGAGCATTTGTCAGAATGTCGTCTTGATTTGGAAACAAATGTTCAAAAACAAAAGCACTTGTTGGCATCTGTATGGAAAAAATATTAAAGGCTATTTACTATTAGCGAAAAATTTCACACAAAATGTCATCACATTCTTCCATGTATAATGAATTTTCCCCAAAACGGATTTTTTCGCTTTCGAACTTGATTCAGAATAAGGGGAAAGTGAAAATGCGAAAAAATTCGAAGGAGTTCAGGTTCAAAATATCTTTTGTTGAAATTATTTTATCATTTTGTTTTCATATAAAATTACTAAACAAATATACAAAATTCAACCAATTAACAATTAAGTACACTTTATTTGACTTGTTTTTGTTGTTGTTTTGTTTTTAATATAAATATTTAATCAATATACATTCAATGTACATATAGTTTGATTATTGTATAAAACAAAATGCCTAATTATTAGGTGAGTCATCGATGAGTTGTTGTTAATGGTTCCTACAAAATAACTTATTCGGATGAAAAATTAAAAAAAAGGAAAATGAACAGACTTATAGTAAATACTCGTACCTATGATGTACAAATCCATTTAACATCATACATTCATTCATATCTATGTATATACTGCACCAAGTACATATTACTGGAATATATGTATTCATTTTACTTGTACTCTGAGCATCTTGAAAATCTCAATAACTTAATACTACATAAATTTATTATATATATATAAATACAATATTAAATATCAGTTCACTGTTAAATAAAAAACCTATACGCACACATTTCGAGGGAATTTTTCTTTAATAATCATTACAATTCATGTAACGCATTTCATCACCCCAATCATTGGACGAAGGCGGTTCATTGTAGCAACATGATTTCTTTAAAAGAAATGTAACATGTTTTTGTCTCAGAACGCAAACATACAATAGCAAGGGAGCTTGTAAGGCATTGACTATAATATGTGTATATAACAGTCCTTCGAATTTAAGCCACGACAGACACAGGAATAGCCATTCGGCACTCATAATCAACAGCATAAATGCAAACATTATAAAGCTGTAAGAAAACAAAAAAAAATGTGTTATATTATTTTCTTATATTTCGCAAAGAACTCATGTCAACTTACTTGGCTTTCAGTTTATGTTGTATTCTACCATAAACATTACGACGATTTATTAATTTCAATGTTGTCACATAAAAGAATATATCAATGAGTATGGTACAGGCAATTGGAGCAAAAAATATAGCAATGCCCAACCAACCCATTGTTTCTTGATCGGCTAAAGTATTTTGTTTCTTATATGTATCGGCATCCAAAAAGAAATGTGCAAATACCGCCATAGCTGCCATAAATGCCGTTGTGCCCCAGGCATATACCGAATAATAACAATATTTACGTGCATCGGTTACCCTTAAGAAGACATTACGTGATCGAAAAGTTTTCCAAATATAATAACCAAAACTATTCAGCCAAAAGAATGCAGCCAATATACTGAAATACAATATAATATCAGCGACAATGAAGCTGACATGATTTGTAAATTCAGTGAAAATTCGTACAAGATCTGCCACTTGACTAACCATTAGACAAACGGCAATTGTAGTGACTATGTTACCAACCAAATCTCTGAAAGAAAAAAATCGAAAAAATATTTAGTTATTTCATAGGTTTAAATATATTTTAAGCTTTTCAAATATTTTATTAGTTATATCATATGGCTCTAAGACGCTATTCATTCTTCAATATACCGAGAATGTAGAGGCCAAATCTCAATGTAATCAATTATGATCACCGAATACTATGATTAATTTTCTTTCTCTTTTAAAAATAGCGAATATCATTGAACCGGCATCTATGCCGTATACATCCGATGGTTTCTTCCCCATCGCGAAGCATGATAGTAATGTCTTTTAGGGATGGATACAATACGGATTCTAAAACCTGATTACAATAATCATTCTAAAATCTGGAAGTGGTATATATACTGAATGGTTTGGAAATACATAAAATATCACCAGATTTTTATTTCGAACGATCTTTTTATGGGTTCAGATTTAGATATAGCTCCCATATATATTTTCGTCCGATTTAAGGTAAATGGTTTACAAAAGTCTCTAAATATCCTTCGATTTGCACGAAGTTTGACACAGCGTACTGAATTAAGTCTAGAATGATGAGTGCTAGATTTATATATAGCTCCCATATATATTTTCGTCCGATTTATGACAAATGGTGCACCAAAGACCCTAAATATCTTTCGATTTGCACAAAATTTTGAACAGCGTACTGAATTAGGAGTAGAATGATGTGTGGTAAGTTTTATGAAAATCGGTTCCGATTTAGATATAGCTTCCATATATATTTTCGTCCGATTTAAGACAAATGGTGCACCAAAGTCCCTAAATATCTTTCGGTTTGCACAAAATTTTGAATAGCGTACTGAATTAAGAGTAGAATTATGTGTGTTAAGTTTCATGAAAATCGGTTCCGATTTAGATATAGCTCCCATATATATTTTCGTCCGATTTAATGTAAATGGTGCACCAAAGTCCGAATATATATATTCGATAGAACATTGACATACAATTGTAAGGATACATATGTACAATATATTCAAAGTGGTGAAGGGTATTATATAGTTGGGCCAGTCCGACATTACTACTTTCCTTACTGTTTTTTTTTTTCTTGAAATGCGAAATATGTTTTTAATTATACACGGAAATATTCACAAATTCCCAAGAAACGATAGAGATATATCTTAATTTTTGATGGCATTAACAAGATGTGTCAATAAAACCAAACCATATGAAAAGTTCGAGGTAAATAAATAAATTAAATAGTAAACATCCAAAACTTACCTTAAGGTGGGTAATATAAAATATACTATTGCTATAATCAATAAAATGATCAGCGATATGACATGAAAAATTGGATTCAATACTTTGTGCATTAGAAAATTCGTATCGGACCATTTCAATTCCTTTTTGGCTAAGCAAATGTTGGCAAACAAGACCTGTCTATGATCTCCGGATGTTGAAATTGCCTATACAATATAATATGTTAGTAACAAAACTATTTCTTCATTTCCTTCTTCATCACCATACATACCCTATCTATGCAATATTGATTCCTTCCATAATCATAAAATAATGGTTTAGACACTTCATCGGCAAATTGTTCGGCATAATCGACACTTTCTTCCTCCTCTTTGGTATTGGTATAGTGGCGCAATTTACCATCTTCCAATAGCACCAATTTATCCGGACTCTTTATGTGTGTAGTCGAAAATGAAAACGAATTGCAAGATAAATGAAAGTGGAAATATATATGACATATTTGATTTTCAAAGCAAACACAAAAAATACTTACACCTTGATAATGATATATGGGCCAAGTTTGCATCGAACCACAAGCTGGCAAACCAATAACGAATTTAAATTTTACCGGCATATTATGTTCACCGCCATAACTTGTGAACATGGGTTGGAAATATTCTATAAAACAGAACAACAACAACATAAAGACATGAAATGAAATACAATACCTGTTAGGGTGTGTTAGTGTTTCACATGTGTATTGGTAAATTGAATAACACGGCCTTTTTTACAAGCTTTTGTTTTGGGCCATGTTTTTTTTCTTGTTTTCATTTCTTTTTTTTTTTAATATTCCATACATACCACTTTCATTGACTTGACTGCATACGGAGTCAATGCGTATTTCAAACTTTTCACAGCATTTATTTACCAGTACCACATTTTCGCCTTCCTCCTCCTCAGGTGTGCCACTAAATGTGGTAGCTGCCGCAATGCCATTATCGCTTCCACTGTTGCTGCTTTGTTGTAAATTGGCATGTGCTCCGGCCAGTATCAGTGCCAAACAGTAAGCTAATATTAGCCAAGATTTTAACGCAGTCTTATCCATAATACAAACGACGTCCGACTAGCGCGGTGTTTTTTATTAAAATAAAATCTGTTGGATAAAAAAACACAAGTCAGACTTTGGATTTTAAGACGTCATCGTTTAATCTACACATCATTGTGTATGGGTGTGTGTGTGGGTACGTTTTTGTTGTCAGATATAAGCTGACGGACGGTATCGTCGTCATACCTTAAGATCAGTTTGTGTAACTCATTCTCTGTCTTGTTTTGTTGTATTCTCTTTTATTCTCTGCCACATGAAACTACTTTCACTCACACAAAGTCAAGTCACAGTTGAATCACAGATATCCACTAATACACTAACAACACATAAATAAAACTACATGCCTCTTCCATTTTAGAACTTACAATGAACGGGTTGAATAGATGGATGAATGGTACAATTGATTGCTGGTTGACTGCATGCAGTGCATTAAACCGCTGCCGTGTCCAGCTCTTACAAGCGATCGGCCACAATTCAATTCAATTGAATGTGTTTATCTTCTTATTGGTTATTGACACTGTTCTGATTTTTTTGTTTATGTTTACATTAATCAGAGAATTGTTTATTGTGGCCACCAAAAAAGTGTATATTTTGGAGGAACTTCATTTATATTTTTTTCATTTGTTTATCCAACAACACCTTTTTCACACCACCATCGACATCATCACCATAAACACATTACCGCCAACTACATCCGTAACGACAACAACACTTCCTTCCAGAAACACACAAAAAGAAGACAAACCAAAATGAAACTAAAACATTCAAGTAACTCCCGGTTTTTTAATGCCGTTGCTGTTACCGCCTATTCCCGCCGTCCAACACGAAAGCCAAATATTCACTGTCATTTCGAGACATTAATGCACCAAACAAACAACTTCTTGATTACTGGAGAAGAGGTGGTTTTTTGTTTTCTCTAAAAATGCTTGAAATATTTTTTAATACATGTATAAATTCCTGGCTTGCTCTCTCTCCCTTTCGATGGCTAGTCAGCCATCCAACCAGCCTGTCAGTCTGTTTGTTAGTACGTTGGCACACTCATCCCCCATAGTTCAGATACTTTTTGTTATATGTGTCACCTTTAGGTTTCCACTCTCCCGCTCTCTCTCTCTCCCAATCAATTTTTCGATTAAAACTTCTCTTTTATTAGTAGAGGGTATATTTAATTAAAGAGAGAATAGTTTCGTTTTGCAAAGCATGGCTTTGTGCTCCACCTAATATTAAATCGCTCAGTACAAGTCATTGCTGTGTCACTCTCGTTGCCCCTGCCTCATTGCTGTGCCTGTTGTGTATCAGCCCAAAACTTTATTCCGTAATTAAATAGTACGGAAATAAATAATTTATCATAATAGAATTGACATTTCTAGACCGGGTTCAGTTATGTGTTGACAAACAAATTGTTAAACATGGGTTTTCTTGAATGCCTGCCGGCCGGCCTCGTAAATTTTTGCAACAAAATAATTAAGTGTAGGAATTCGTTGTAGGGACAGTTGCTGTTGTTGGAAGAGGAGAGTGTAATATTTCATGCAAGGAAAATGAAATAAACACAATATCAGCATTAGTTCGAGGGCAGTTTGGTGGTTCTTAGAAATAAACATTACTGCTAATTAGATTTTGGCATTCTCTTCGGCAATTGTATGGAGGGTATATAAGGATATACGAAGCAGTACTTGCTGGTGATTATTTTCATTCTCTAAGGTCTTGGCAACTAAACCTGAAATAAACTTGTTGAGGTGCTCAGATATCCACAAGACTCCGTTCTAATACAGTCGGGACCCTGACTGCAAACCGTAGAACACTGATGGGCATGAGGTCGCATGACACCCCCAGCGTTAGGGGGTCACTTTTGGGAATTAGTGACCCAGACCTCTAAGATGGATATTTTGAGGCGCGACGTCAGTCCAAGGATCATGGGCACTCGGTCATTTCCTCCGAGACACTCCCCATGAACCCGCTGATTGTCCGCGACTGCTTATCTAGTATTCACAGTTGCCCAAAGAATAATATTGGGTTTTCCACAATCCACAACCTGTGGACGTGTCCGTTAGCATTCAGCTCTGCTCCCCGAAGGCGGACTATTTAGAAAAACCTTCGTGTAATCTCTCTTCTGAAGAAATTGTTGTGATTTTCATGGTTCAAGATCTAATTTCTAACCAAAGTGGATGAAAAATGGAATTGCTGACCCAAATAATTTCTTGTTATCAGAAGGTAAAATAACTTCTAATAAGCCCTTTATTTTTTATATATTCCATATAAGATTTGACCTATTATAAGTATTTTGAAGTTTCATCTTCTCGTATCTAAAAAACGCTCTTTCAGAAAAATTTCAAATAAGCCCATAGTCTGGCTTAGCTCCAAAAAAACTATTCTATAATTATTAACATTTTAACACCCGGGGCATCATAGGTCAAAGTGTCACACCTATATCGATAAATCGTCCTCGTTTTCGTTACCATGGAACTTGCCATATTATGCTTCAAGCTGCATGGTACATACATATATACAACAAACATATGTTTTGCAAAATTTGTATGGAGTTGACAAGAGAGTGATGAGTATTACATGTTGTTGTAATGTTGCGTGTTTACAATTACTTTATTTTATTATGTTTGCCACGAGCTGTCGCTCTCTCTCTCTCTCTCACTCACTCTGTCTGACTGTTTCATGTAGAACATCTGTGACGTTAGTAACTCATTTTCTCAAAATTAGCAGGTGAGCAATGTTAGCATTAATACTTCATTCTCTCAGACACCTGTGTCCTTGGGAAGAACAGGGTTGCCAAATTTTATAAATTTATAATTTTATAAATTATAAATTAAAAATTTCTTTTCAGCAAAAAAACTTCCTAATACGAATAGTAATAGAATGGTTAAAGAGAGTTTTCAAAACAGTTTTTTAATAAATTTAAATTTATTTAATTATTGTATATTTTAAATTAAAATTAGCAAAAATTGCACCGACTATTAAGTATTTCAACGATCACCCTTGTTCTTGAGGAGAAATGGTTGAGTCTATATTCAACATAGGCTTTGATGTCCACTAAACTATTAGTATTCTCTTATCGATTTACTTCACTCAAAGAAATAGTGCATCTTAAAAACCTCTCATTTAAATCCGAAAAACATATTTCTCATTTTTCTTAATTCTCTCTTTTTATTATTAGCTTTTGGATATGTTAAAATTCTATAGCCGGTTTGAAATCAATGATGTTACCGGTGACTCATTAACCGATCATGATATGACTCAGATACATTATAAGAAAATTACATCACTACAAAGAGCTGCATTTGCCAAATTTCCCGATTTGAAATTATTTGCCCTTTCCAATGTGGCCAGTGTTGATACACGTGATGCATTGGAAAGTCACTTTGGCAGCTTAGATGAAAAAGCTCTCAAGCAAATAGCCAGCTTCCTAAATTTGGTGCCAGATGATTTGAAACCACCATTCGATTGGTATCGTTTGGATGAGGCATTCCTTAAGGAATTGTTAATAACCCGCCACGAACGTCGCTGTTCCCAATTGGATGCGCTAAATGAAATGCCTCTCTATCCCACTGAAGATGTAATATGGGATGAAAATGTTGTGCCAACGGAATATTTTTCCGGTGATGGCTGTTTGGCACTGCCTAAATTGAATTTACAGTTTCTCACACTGCATGATTATTTGTTGCGGAATTTCAATCTATTTCGTTTGGAATCTACTTATGAAATTCGACAAGATATTGAAGATGCGGTTAGCCGCATGTTGCCATGGCAATCGGAAGATGGTGGTGTTGTATTTGGTGGTTGGGCCCGTATGGCTTTGCCCATTGCCTCATTTGCTGTGGTTGAAGTGGCAAAGCCGCATATTGGTGAGAAGAAACCATCGAGAGTAAGAGCAGATATTTCGGTGACATTATCGGTGCGCAAAGAAATCAAAGAAGAATGGGAAAATCTACGAAAGCATGATGTGTGTTTTTTGATAACGGTTAAGCCACAAGTACCATATGGTATGTTTGGGAACATTTGCTGTTTTGCTAAATTTGAAAAGTTTATTTATTAACTGTTTTAACTATTCTAAAAGGTACCAAATACAATCCTCGAGAACCATTTATACCCCAAGTAGGTTTGGTCTATGTACGTGGTTGTGAAATTGAGGGCATGTTGGATGCCAATGGCCGTGTCATCGAAGATGGTCCAGATCCCCGACCCCAATTGCCGGGTGAAAACCGAACCTATCGTGTTTGGTTGGATTGCAATCAATATCGCTTGGATATGGACTCTCTGCAAGAGGGCGGCGATGATGTCTATGAAAGTTTTAATATTTTAATGCGTCGCAAACCCAAGGAAAATAATTTCAAGGCCGTCTTGGAAACTATACGTCATTTAATGAACACCGAATGTGTTGTTCCTTCATGGTTACATGATATATTATTGGGCTATGGTGATCCCAGTGCGGCGCATTATTCCAAAATGCCAAATCAGGTAGGATTTGAATGGAAATTTACAGACACATAATTATTCATTCATTTTATTTTTAAGGAGCGTTCTTTGGATTTCAATGATACATTCCTTTCCTATCAACATGTGTTGGACAGTTTTCCCGATTACCAATTAAAATGTGATGTGCCTGAAGACAAACGCGTTCCACCATTTCGTTTGGTGTTTGAAGATGTGCCAGAATCTAAAGAGTCGAATGAAAATGGCGAAAACCATGCTCAAACGGAAGAAAGTAAAGTAATTTCTGTTCAAACCTATCAAATACAAAATCGTGGACCGTATTTGGAAAATAAACCCAAACAGTAAGTTTTCTTGGAATATAAAATAATTGCAGAAATTTGAATATGAATTGCTTCTAGAAATACGATACGTTTTACACCCACACAAATCGAAGCCATTAGAGCCGGCATGCAACCTGGTTTAACGGTGGTAGTGGGTCCCCCAGGTACTGGTAAGACAGATGTTGCCGTACAAATCATATCGAATATTTATCACAATCATCCAAATCAACGCACCTTAATTGTAACCCATTCGAATCAGGCCCTCAATCAATTGTTTGAAAAAATTATGGCCTTGGATATTGACGAACGGCATTTGCTGCGTTTGGGTCATGGCGAGGAGGCGCTGGAAACAGAAAAGGACTTCAGTCGCTATGGACGTGTTAATTATGTTTTGGCCAAACGTTTGGATCTTTTGAATCAAGTACAAAAGCTACAAGAATCCATGCAGGTTACCGGGGACAATGCCTATACTTGTGAAACTTCCGGATATTTTTATCTCTACCAAGTAATGGCCCGTTGGGAAAAGTTTCAAAATGAAGTTATACAAATGGCCAAGGATGAAAACTCTGACACATGGCGTAAATTTTTCGAGGAGAACTATCCATTTAATAAATTCTTCGCTGATGCGCCACAGCCCTTATTTAAGGGTGATACTTTTGATGATTATATGGAAATTGCCAAATCATGTTTCCGTTACATTTCGCACATATTTACCGAACTAGAAGAGTTTAGGGCCTTTGAATTGCTGCGCACAGGTTTAGATCGTTCCAAATATTTATTGGTGAAAGAAGCCAAGATTATTGCCATGACCTGTACCCATGCAGCATTGAAACGTAAAGAATTGGTAAATCTTGGATTCCGCTACGATAACATACTAATGGAAGAAGCAGCACAAATTCTTGAAATTGAGACCTTTATACCGCTGTTGCTACAAAACCCCATGGATGGTTTTAATCGTTTGAAACGTTGGATAATGATTGGAGATCATCATCAATTGCCTCCTGTTATTAAAAATATGGCATTTCAAAAATATTCCAATATGGAACAAAGTCTCTTTACGAGGCTGGTGCGTTTGGGAGTACCGACTGTTGACTTAGATGGTCAGGGTCGTGCTCGTTCGGAAATTTGTTCTCTTTATAAATGGCGTTACAAAAAATTGGATGACCTTTCACATATTTTGGAGAAGGAGGAATATCGTCGATCAAATGCAGGACTTCGCTATGAATATCAACTTATTAATGTTGATGATTTTAATGGTGTCGGTGAAACAGAACCCAATCCATATTTCTATCAAAATCTCGCTGAGGCTGAATATATTGTGGCTGTATTTATGTATATGCGCCTGTTGGGATATCCGGCGGACAAAATTTCGATTCTAACCACCTACAATGGACAAAAGCATTTAATACGTGATGTTATCAATGTCAGATGTGGCAATAACCCCTTAATTGGTTGGCCCCATAAGGTGACCACAGTGGATAAATATCAAGGTCAACAAAACGATTATATACTCATCTCATTGGTGAGGACAAAGGCAGTGGGCCACATACGTGATGTACGACGTTTGGTGGTGGCTATGAGTCGTGCCAGATTGGGTTTATATATTTTTGGCAGAGTAGGACTGTTCAAGAATTGTCTAGAACTGCAGCAGACCTTTAAATTGGTAAGTTGTAATGAAATGCATTTAAAAATATATGCTTGTGAATTTCTATCATTATTTTTGCAGTTAACAAAACGTTCACAAAAACTACAACTTGTGGAAAATGAAACATATCCCACCGAACGAAAAACCAATGAAAATCCAGCAGAAGATACTATTAAAACAATGGAGAATATGACACAAATGGCTCAGTACGTGTATCAAATGTATTGTAAAAAATTGGAAACAATTAAGGATCAGTTGCCTAAAGAGTCGGCTGATACAGAGATGTATGCAAATATACCCACAGAAGATTCCAACAATGAGGGAGGGGATGGAGAAGAAGGAAACGAAATGGCCAATATGGAAATATATGAGCCACCAGCGAAAAAGGCCAATAAGGATGCAACAAATAAAGACAAAAATTCCACAGCCAGCAATAAAACATTTAAACCCACACCCATTGTAAATGAAATTGATGTAGACGAAGAGGAAGAAGAACAGCAACAAACACAAGAGGAAGAGAAAAATACAAGTGCTGGCAAAACTTCAGAAGAGGCATAAAAAGCGGAATCATTTTTTTATACAAACAAAAAGAGAATAAAACATATTTTATTTTATCAAAGATAAAAATAAAATTTCTTGTTTTATTTATTTCTTTGGTGCAGTAATACCCTCCAACTGTGCCTTTAACTGGGTATTGGTTTTCTTAAGGAATGCCACTTCTTCTTGGTATTTCTTTTCTTCGGAGGCACGCAGCTCGGCATTTCTACGTTCCGCCTGTTCGTTCTTTAATTTCATATCGGCAATCATATCTTCCAATACTTCCTTATCACTTTCCAACGATTTGACACGATCCCTTAGCATTTCTTTTTCTTCGTGGGCTTGTAGAGCTTTACGCATTCCAAAAGCCACCGAGCTACAATACAAGGTTTCATATGCCTCCATTGACATGGCGATTTCATCGCGTATACGTAATAAAAGCAAGCCACGTTCCGAGCAGTTGATAGTTACTTGGCGTATAATTTCATCTAAAGACGAGGGAGGGGAATAATGCAATTAGTAAAGGTTTTTTGAAATATTTTTAGATAATAGGTACCAAAACATTGCGAGTATAATTCCCGTCTTATGGGACATATTCCAGTTTCCCTTGCCTGGGTCTGCTGTAAACGCGTATCCAACATCTCCTGTAAGTTAATAACATCCTGTCGGGTGGCTGGAGTACTGGACACCGTCTGCTGCCACAATTGTCCCTCTTCTTCCCAGCAACGTGGTGGTAAAATTGAATTTAAAATTTCCTCAGTTTCCTTTTTCGTATCCAATATGGCTCCAGCCGTTTGTGGCCTTTTCATTTCCTTAATGGTTAACAAAGGTGGCATATAATTTTATTTGGTGTATCTGTTATCATTTCATAATTTCCTTACCAAATCTGCTGGTCCTGCTGTTTTTTTATCAACATGCTTTACCACCAACACAGGATTGTTATATCGTACCAATGTTTGAAATTGCCCAACAGCTGTTTGTTCCATATCAACATCCATCTTTTCTAGTCAATTTTTTTTTTTTTTGTAATTATTTTTTTATTTTATACTTTTTACAAAATGAGTTGAAGTGTGCTATATTTTGAAATAAACAGTTTTCTTCCTTAGCAACCGGAAATATAACTTTTGTATAAATTATCGATAAATGTTAAAGTAAACAATCGATAATTCATGTTAACACTTTTCCGTTTTTTATCAGCAGTTGCAACAAATCTATGTATTATAAAATATTATCCGATAAATGAAGGAAAAAATAAATGCTGAATTAAAAAAAAAAAATAAATTAGAAAATGTTGTTTATTAAAAAAACTATACGCCATCCATTACAAGTGTTTCAATTAGTTGAATACGTAACGTAACTATTGTGAATGTGGACTATATACACGCTCTTTCGTAAATTCTATTTCTATATACGCTCTTTCGTATAGTCTATTTCTGATAAGACCGACGGGTTCCACCTTCGAACTTGATCTATTTAAGATAAACATATTACGATGTGTTAAGTAGTCGCTGAATTCAAAACAATCACCTATCAATTAAAACCCCAACTTCTGTGTTTGGCCTAAAAGTATGCTATAATTATTTTCTTTACAAACCAGCAGCCATTGTGAATAAAAAATTGACTTTTTTAAAAATAAATGTTTGTGTAATTTTTCATTTTCAGGTAATAGGCGCCCAGCACCAAACAGCAACGATATTTCGGAACATCGTTGAATTCAAATGCAAATAACTCAGCGACTACTTAACCGATTTTCATAAATTTTGCATAAATTGTTTGAGGGAATTCTAACGTTTTAATCCATATTGACAAAATATATAAAAAATCATGTTATATAAGAAAAAAATAACATTTTGTGAAAGTTCAAAGATATATCAAATAACGACTAATTTTAAATTTAAATTCATACCAAAAAGTATAGCCGATTTGGGCATCCTGTGCTAGATCCCAAACAAATAATAAATCACTTGAAAAGTCGACGATTTGACACATAACTGATGTTTTGTTTTTAAAGTTTGAAATATTACATGGTGTGGCAGGTTACAGAAAAAGTGGTCCGATGGGACCCCATCTTCGAATTTGAGATTTAATTTTAAAAAAATATTACAATGTGCGTATTTTGTATCAAATCGGACATTCCATACGATTTTAATATGTTAGTGCGTTTCGGTGTAACCGACAGTTGATTTAGATGGGCAATGTCGAGCTCATTCGGGAATCTGTTATCTTTATAAATAGCGTTATAAAAAATTAGATGATTTCTTAAATTTATTTTGAAGAAAGAAATATATCATCGATCAAATGAAACACTTCGTTATAAATTAATGTGTTTTTTGTACTATTCCATCTCCCAATGAAGTGGAAAGCCCTATAATTTCTCCACGTATTAAAATTTAGGATACTTTACGGCACACTATTAATAATATCTCCCCACAACATAAAAACACACATAAATATTTGTTAATATATATTTTATTGTATAAATTTTTATTGCATATATATATTATTTTTTTGTTTTAATAATAAATACATATATGTATGTACTTATCATATTAGTTTTGTGGACATTTTCATTGGAAGCATAATAATTTGTACTTAAAGCATAAACAGTTTTTATTTTATTTTTTTAATACATATTCTAACTAAATGTAAACTAAATGTATTTTAAATTATTAAATTTATACATATAAATGAAAAATAAATTTTCAAATACAGCAAGAATGGCTATCTTAATGTTAGTAAAATTATGAAAAAAAGCTTAACTATAACAGCAAAATTAATATATTTCATATTTATTTAAATAATGGTTTAAATTTGTTTAGCTAGTTAGATTCGTGTATAATATAATAGAATTTGTATAAAAAATATTGTGATTAGACTACACATTGAAATTCGCATTTTTTTGGGGCTTTATGACCTGAAAAAAATTAGTCATACAATTCTAGTTAATGAAAAAAAAATTCCCTTAAATGTGTATTTCAATATTCAAATACATGATATAAATAATAATAATACATTTTCAAAATTGAAATTGTGCGACAAAATGATATTATCTTTAAAAGTCTATTCAGTTATTGTCATAATCATCAGGGATATATAATTTCGAGTATGTAAACGATATATGTATATTTGTTCCTTGCTGTGTTTAAGCTGTCTTGCTTTGAATTAGATTATATAAGCAATTCGGCATATTCCGCTATTTTTAACTTATAATTATATAAACCTTTTTATATAAAAATATATTTATATATTTCGATTAAGTTTTCTATTTGATTAGCAGCCCAATACTTGATTTTTATTGTTCTTCAGTTTGTTTACGATTTGTTTTTTATGATATTATATTAATTCGGTGACAACATCATCACCATCCCTAATTGGGGCCTGAAATGTGGAACCAGTAAACTCAAACATCTATAACAAAAAAGATAACATAGAAAAAGAAAACACAACATTAGTTATATCAATTAACAATATCTGCAAAAATTTTACCGAAGGTACCCTGTTATTGCGTAATGTTGCATAATCAGCAAAATCATTCATATGTGGATCGATACGGCCATGACTGCTTGGTCCCACACCATTATTGGGATTTTGACCGCCATTAACGCCGCCACCACCACCACCCACCATACCCGTTGAATTTCCGCCATGATTACGTGGCTGTATTGTGGCATATGTATTATCAACAACATGCTGCTGTTCCATTGAACCACAATGGTCCATATGACCCTGTGGAAATATTCTCAACTAAGAAACAACAGAGATTTCGGAAATATACTGGTTTTACTTACTTGTATATCAGAATTGGATATGTGATCGGGTTCCGAAAACACTTGCATAGTCAGTTCTTGTTCCTCATATAATTTTAGTTTTCTTTAAAAAAATGAAATAAAAAATAAAGTGATTAATATAAGTTTATTTATTTATATACTGAAAAGAATATTTTTAATTTTATTTAGTAGTGTTGGCGGTTTTTTGGGATACCATTTATATTTTGTTTTTGCAAAATAGTCAGGCTGAATCCCTGTGTTGTTTATATTAGCCGAGAAACTAAAATCTCAATTAAAAATAAATTGAATACGATCTGTTCTAACATGGGAAGTCCTACTATTTTTTCGAAATATTATCGGTCCATTTTTGATAATTTTATTTAAAAAAATTGTCTTTAAAATACTTACTGTTCAATCCACAAAGGATTTTCGGTTGTATTGAGATCTTCAATAATTTGTTTCTTTATTAAAGCCTCTTTTCGACGATTTTCCGTTGGCACTGATAAATTCCTGTAAGCAGAAGAAATAATGACAAAACAATTATCGCTAAAAGGCTGATTACACTTTTTACACATACCAATGCTTGAGACAACAGCATAATACAATAAAACTAACAACACCCACAAATAGGACAATTACCAATGCAACCAAACCTGCAACGGCCAGATCAAATTCTTCCTGGACAATTGTGATGTAGGCGGGTACAACATTTTCAATGGCAAAACCAGCATAGTAATCCTTTTAAAGAGAGTAAAAATTTGTTTAAACCCCGAAAAAAATTAAATCTTTTTTACTTACCCGCAAATAATCATAATTGGCATCAATGACTTTCAAAATTTCATCAACAGCCGAAATTTGTTGAGTTTGTGGATCAACAGCATGGAAATATAAATCCGACCAATCCATACGTATCCGTCCCATAGAATCGACATGGAAACGTATCTCATCAACAATAATACGATGCTGAGTTGCATTACGCAGTTCGGCCACAATTTCTTCCTGCTGCTGATAGACTTCTTCCGGTGGTCGTGACAGAATAACTCGTACCAATTGACTGTAGTCATAAATCCAAACCTAAAAATCAAATATATTTAAATAGGGATTTTCCATTTTTAAATTAAATAGGTGCTGCATACAATAACCCTAGTTCTGGCCACACGTTCTGGTTTCTCCATTTCTTTTGCCACAATTTCCAATTCAAAACGATCCTGATTGTATTCGGCCACAAATGCCCCCGTTGTTACTCGACCCTCTGGTGAAATAGCAAATGGACTTGGTACAATAGAGCCGGTACTCTTCGTTGCCCCATATTTATATAAATTCGAAGCAATAATCATGTACTCAATATAGGCATTCTTTCCAGCATCCGCATCCGAGGCATTTACAGTAGTTATAATTGTACCAATTGGTGATTTGGCATTGACACCAGCATAATAGATATCGGTTTCAAATATGGGTGGATTATCATTTTGATCTAAAACGGTAATGAGAACCTTGGCCACGGTATTGTCACGATCTAATGTTTTAATGGAGAATGATGCACGTTCTTCGTCGGATATGTGGAGATCACGTTTGATGCTAGCCAATATATAGAGGGTATAAAAATCGGTGGTTTCTCTGTAAAAAAACGATTTATTATGGAGGAACACTTCTTTTATCTCTCTCTCTCTCGCTCGCTTTACCTATCCAATGTTTTGTTGGTATAAATATCTCCCGTTGCTTTGTCCACAACAAAAGCCCCATCTTCATTGCCCAGCAACATATAATAGAAAACGTCCTTGTTGTGTTTATTGCGGGCCGTTGCCTGGATTTTACCAATTTTTATATTACGCTCATTGTTTTCCAATATGGAAATCTTATAGGGATTGCTGGCATCTGGAAATTCGGGTCTGTTTTCGTTGGCATCAATAATACTGATTGTTAGGAAACGTAATGTTTCAAAAGGTTTCGGATTGCCATTATCGCTGGCTACCAAAATTAAATCATAACTAAACAAAACAATAAAATACAATCATCTCTGCAAATTCAAAACTTTAAAAACAAAATTAATTACATACTTGGCTTTTTCCTTGCGATGGAGATCACCATTGGTCCTTAGCTCCCCAGTTTCAGCATCGATTTTAAATTCATCGGTTTCTTGAAGATTTTGATCTTTTACTTGTAAATGATAAAATATTTTACCATTTTCATCGGGGTCATCGTCTGTGGCTTTTACCGTTAAAATTAGATAATCCTTGGGCACAACATCCTAAATAGAGAAAAGGAGAAAGGCATATTGAGTTTCTGAAATAATAACAAAGCCAGAGACAAACAAAAACAAGTTGTAATGAAATTTAGCAAGACAGTAGCCCGTTATCTTTCATTCAGTTTCCTCTTTTGTAGACGATTAAAAAGAACTTACCCCTGGAATTTCGATAGTAGCATTAGATGATGCCGGTATTACAAACACCGGACGATGTTGATTAACACCCATAACATTTACAATAGCCTTAGTTGTGGCCTCCATTGTACCGGAACCTTGTGTATCTCTTGCCGATATTGTCAACTCATAGACTCCCTTTTTACCATTAAGACTCTGGGCAGGATATAGAATACCAGTTTGGGCATCTAAGCGGAAAAGTCCCTCCTCATTGCCGGCTATTATTACATAACGTACATCACCAAATATACCCTCATCCAAATCAAAAGCCTTAACTTGTAACACTGCAGCCGGAGGATTTAAGGCGGCATTTTCTGCCACAGTCGACGTATATTCATTTTGGGTAAATTCCGGCGCATTATCGTTTACATCCAAAATATTTAAATAGATCTATGAGACAACAACAAAACATCTTAGAAAACTCATTTTCCATTTCAAGTTGCGCAAACTTACCGCCGCTGATGTAGATTTTTGTACTGTGGTGGGGGCCTTATCTTTGGCCACCGTTGTTAATGTTAGCTGTTTAACTTTCTCACGATCCAATATCGATGAGTTCGAAACCATTATATTACCCGTATATGAATCAATGGTAAAATATTTATTATTCTCTCCGATGAGCGAATATGTTACCTCACCAAATGCTCCCAAATCTTTATCGAATGCCTCAACTTTACCCGCCACTGTACCAATGGGTGAATTTTCAGTTATATTAAAATAATACTCATTTTGTGTAAACTGTGGTTCATTATCGTTTAGATTTATAACATCGACAATAACGTCGGCCGTCGAGGTTAAAGGTGGCACTCCTGTGTCACTAACTGTAGCAATAAATTTCACTTCCTTAATTGTTTCATAGTCCAGACGTTTGGTTAATGTGATTACACCGCTGGATTTGTTAATTTCAAAGTAGTCATTATCCGATATATCATATTCTCCAATTGTAGAATCTTCGTCATAGGCCTGTAGTGTTGTTAGTACTGTACCGATTGGTTGTTCTTCAACCATTTGTAATTTGATGACAGGATTTTCGGGCGTCCAGGGTAAATTGAATTTCTGTAAGCGAGAAAAACATAAGGTTTTCTGTTTTAATTATGCGGTTTGAGAAGGACTCTGGATATTCGATAGGAAATTGCAAACTTTAATACTCAGCTGTCCTTACTGTCAGACCTTATATAGGAATTGGGCCTTGATTTAGATTTTTCGAAAAATTCTGTGTTTTCTGTCATGATTAATTAAAATAATTGAATTTCGAATAAACATTTTGCTTTATTCTTTTTTTTTATGATATCGAAGAAAATAGTAAAATTGGAATTGCAGTAAAGATTTGTTTTATTCTTTTTTTCGAATATGGAATTGGAAAGATTACAAATTTTATCGTTGAATATTTTCATTATTGTTTTTAAGGCTACAACATTAAATCCTTATCGTTTACAAAGAAATCTGCAAGAGGTAAGTATGGATAATATGTTCGATATTCCATAAACTAAAACAATTTCAATGTCATTAGGTGGAATTTCATTTATCAAAATCCTGTGATTCATCATTTCTATTGTGTCATCCTATTTTAGTGTGGATAATTTCTCTGTTTCATATATGCAAATACGTGGCGGGTCATATAACACTGGCGGCCAATGTAATAGCCATGTAAGTTGAAAGATATTTCAAATTGTTCTTCATCATAGAGAACTGTGGGTTCCACTTCTGAATTAGGAAAACACATATATACTTTTACTTTTGCCCTATCTGTAGGTTTCCCATATTAACTGAGGCCTTGCCACAGCTACTTATACCACCTTTAGTGGCCCAAGCAATTGAACACATACTTTTAAATGCAATCGAAACTGTTTTGGGCTATTTAACTTTATATTACTATGCACCCAGTGCAAATAGTAAAGTCAGCGTTTTGGTTATATTTCTGACAACAATGACCATAAAGATTGTTATTGCCATAGGAACATTGTAAGTATGTAATATTTTTTTGAAAAACTGTCACGTTTTTATATATAACAAGAATTCTTTTTGTTCAAAGAAATCTCTACTCAGACTTTTATCAACAAATTAAGCAGTCAGCAATGCATTATGATCACGAATCTTATGAATCATTACTGCCAAAGCATGAGTTTTTAGTAAAAACGATTAAATTAAATTAAACGAATCTACATACCGGTGCAACTTCATTGACATCGATAATTTGTATTATCAAAAGGCCCATGCCTTGTTGGACCGTGGGTGCAGTGCTATCAGTGACCAATACATTTATGCGGATTACCTGTAAAAATGTACATATGTAAAATTATATTGTGAATATCTATATAAAATATGTGAAATTTGTAAAACTTACAGCAAATAAATTTCGATTAAGTTTTTTATTAACCATAACTTTGCCACTTCGTGTAATTGTAAAGTATTCCTTGAATTGTTCACTGTTTTCAACTTCATTGCCATCTTTGTCAACGGCCGTGATATTAACCCCAGCAAATTCTAGCGAATCGCGTGATGAGACATCCGGATCAATAGCTAATAGAGTATAGAAAACAGTACCAACAAGGGTATCCTCGCGGACCTATTTCAAAATAAATAAGAAAATAAAATAAGTTTTTTTCACAACTTGGGCGATTACAAATAACCCGAAGCCATTACTAACCTCGGCATATTGTGTGGCTGGTGTAAAATAGGGATCTTTATCATTGCTATTAATTATATTCACTGTCAATGTGGCAGTCCCTGATAGACTTGGTGTGCCCATATCCATGGCAATTACTTCAATTTCATAGGTATTACGCTTGTCATAATCCAATTTTCGTGACACAAATACCTCTCCAGTATTTTCATCAATGCGAAAATCATCAAAACTTCCATGCTGTATGCGATATCTTGAAAAAAAAAACAATCACAACAATATTAAGGGTCAACTATCCTGAAATAATATATTTCTACTTACTTCAGCTGGGCATTTATGCCCGAATCTAAATCTTCAGCTTCTAATTTTTCTACACTGCGTCCAATTTCGGAATTTTCTTCAACATCAGCCTGATAGTTATCGGCCAAAAAATGTGGCTTATGATTGTTAACATCACGCACCGTAACATTTACCATACAATTTGCCGTGTACAGACCATCATTGGCCTCTACAGCAAATACAAGATTATCATTATTTAAGTGGGTAACATCTAGTGTGGCATTTGGTCGTATGGTAATCTGGCCAGATTCTTTATCAATGACAAAAGTATCCAGGATATGTTTATCACCAATAATACTGTAGAACAAATTTGTGTTTCAATTCTATTGTTTCTAATAATTCAAAATTAGGCCTACCTATAGGAAATCTCCGAGACGGTATCGGCATCGCGAGCCTTTACAAACAGGGGAGCATCAAAAACATGTGAACCCTCATCAACAGATGCTCGATAGTGGGGACTTTCACAAACTGGTGGTGAGTCATTGGCATCTATAACTGAAATGCGCAAGGAAACGACGGTATTTTGTCCGCGACCTTCATCATCTCGGGCCTTTAAACGAAAAAAGTTTGATAATAAAAAAATTAATATTTCTATTCACTTGACAATTTTTACGAATTCCTTTTGAATATAAAGAAAGTTTTAATTGGAATAAGGCTATTGCATATTTTGAAATATGAAACATATACAATCCATTTCATATCATAAAAATTGCCTAGTATGTATCAAAATATAGGGTTTAACTTACATTATAGGTCAAAAAGTATGTTGTCTCTGTTTCATAGTCCAAACAGGTTTTCTGTGTCTCCACACTATTTGGCATTAGGTCATTATTAACTTCCGCGATGGCATCTGATGCTGGTGGTTTTATGATTTTATACTCAAAGGTTGCATCATTATTTACTTCATCATCACCATGATAACTCATTAAATAGTTTTCCATATCACGTTTACGTCGTTTATTACTCGTCTCCGAAGGTTTCTTGTGACAATCTGCCAGCGATATGACACCAGTTTTTTCGTTAACATCAAACAACTCAGCACCATTACCCGATAAACTATAGCGAATACCAGCATCACCATAACTACCTGAATCCAAATCCTTGGCAGTTATTGTGGCAATATATTGTCCTGGTAGAGCAGATTCGGATACAGAAGCCGAATACGATTGCTCTTCAAACATGGGCTTATTGTCGTTGACGTCTAAGACGGAAACCGTTATGGTTGCCGTGGAACTAAGTTTAGGGTTTGTATCGGTCTCTTCGGCAATCACCAGTACAATAAATTTCCGCTGATTGGGATTTTCATAATCCAATGTACCATTGGCCACCCGTATATGAACTTGAGAGAAGCCAGTTACAAATTTCGGCTCGACATCAAAGACATCCGAAACATCATCAAGTCGTAAGGAGAATTTCGAATTAATGCCAACATCACGATCTGTTACATTCATATCCAATGCTAATGGTGTACCCGTGGCTGTATTTTCCGGCAACGATACCTCATATTCTTTGCGATTAAATGTGGGTGGTGAATCATTTACATCACGTATTGTGATTGTCACAGTTGTGGTACTACTTTCCATGGGATCATTGCTCGGTACACCATTGACAACTTCTCTGGCTCGTACCGTAAGTTTCATTATACCAGAGCCATCTGGCAAGGCTTCACGATCTAGAGGTTTTGCGGTGCGTAATTCACCGGTATGTTCATCTAATAGAAAATAGTCCATGGGATCTACAAGACAAGTTTGAAGTTATAAGATGTTGTGGAATTTGTATTGAAATTTATACTGACTTGTCACCAAATCATAGACAATTTTTCTTGGTTCTCCGGTATCGCCATCTCTTGCTTGAATTTTCAAAACCAATGTATTTATGGGAGCATCTTCGTCAATAACATTCGATTTGTATTCCAGAAATACAGGAGGTTTGTCTTGTATGTCTTTTACTCGTACCTCGAAGTGAGTTTGCGTTTCATGCACTCCATCCTGAAAATAATGGAACGATTTGTTTATTTTTTTACTGCTCTCTTTAACTTTCGAAAATTTCACCCTTTTACTTACCGTAGCTTCTATTATAAAATGATAAATTGTGCGCTGATTATAATTTAAAGCTTCATTTAGGATAACATTAGCAGTAAGGACTGTGGGTTCACTTGTCACAATATCCAAACGGAATCTAAAATTACAACCACGAGAAAAAGTATAAAAAATAAATTTAAAGAAAAACTAAAACTTGCTTGCTTGAGAACTTACTTGTCACAGGCATCTGGTGATTGGGTTTGGGCAATACATTTTATATCTAAACTTTCTCCAACAATATCACGATCTTTGACCAAAATATTTCTGAATATTGTTGTGCCTACTGGAGTATCTTCGGAAACATCTACACCATATGGTGTCTAGTTGAAAAAAATAGCATTAATATTAAGTCAACCTGTCTTCGGATATTTCAACTTACATTTACAAACTCTGGGGCATTGTCATTTTCATCGGATATTATAAAGGTCAGAGTGTCCTGAACAATATTATCAAATTCCGATTCACCTTCATCGCTTACTTGATCCCTTACGGTTATTAAAAACGATAGACTATCTTTTTCCTCACGATCGAGAGGTTTTATTAATGTTATATTTCCCGATAAGGGATCAACTTCGAAATGTTCTGAACCAATTGAACCGAATGTAATATTGCTACCTTCTGGATCGGAACCTTCGAGTTTGTAAACCACCGTACCAACTGGTGTACTTTCCGATAAAACGATGTTATTGTTAACTTGACGGAATACAGGTGGAAAATTTGTTTCACCTTTAATGAAAAAAAAATATTTGTTTTTTGATATCTTGTCTTAGAATGGTAGAACTTTTGTATACTTACATATGATCAAGACACTATTGGCTAAAAGCAATAGCAAATATATCAGAGTACGATTTTTTGGCATTTTGTTATTGTCGAAGTCGTCATTTACAGTTAATTATGTCTGTAATGAAAAATTTGAATACAAGTTAAGTTTTTTTAAATAAAACTGTGGTCTGGAATAAGGAAATATTTTTCTTTAGAGAAAAAAAGTTGCCTACGGATTTTTTCTATAGAAATATTTTCCCACATAGGCTGCTTTTTGTACTCAGCAGATAAGGAGCTTTCCATAAAAAATGTAATTCAAAACCACAGTTTGATGTAGGGAATAAAACGCTGCGAGTTCTTCAATTTGCGTAAAAGATTTGATCTATAAAAAAGAGTTGATAAGTTATTTTTGTATTCTAACAAAACAATCTAAAAAAAGACAACTTCTTGTGATTAATGATGGTCACAGTATCTACCGCAACGTAAACCTTACACGGTATGTACGAGTACACCATTAACATTTCTAATTGTGATTCTAACAGTAGTTAAGTGTCATGTCCCATTTTTTTTCAAAAAGAAATGTGAAATAAATTTTGGTTCTTTTTTATGTTATTGTGTTAATGACATATGCGAAACTGTTTTTTAGATCAGCCGTTGTTATACTTTTTATTGAAATAAGAGATCATGGAAGTCTAAAATTGAAAAAATATGAAACAGTCAGTTGAAATTAGGTTGATTATCTGAGATAATGTATTCAACATTAATATAGAAATGTTACATTTCTGTCTAGAAGAGAACAAGTTAAAAATGTGATATTTAATTTTTTATTGTTGGTAACTTTCTATGTATGTACTTGGAAAGAAAAAATTACATTCAATTTGTTTGGAAAGTGATTGAATAATTAAAAAGAAGTTATTCTGATAAAAAATAATTAAGTCATAAGACGATGATAAAGTTTGTTTTATTAAAAAAATGATCCTCGGAACATTTTTTATAGAAACAAAAATATCTCATACGACTGAGGACTGTCACTACTAATTCACCATATTTCCACCAAAAGTCGGACGGGCGATCATATGATACCCTTCACCATGTACAAGAGTTGTTAATATATACAATATCCTGTAGATACATCATATTTAGAGGACCTTTGAAATTGAATCGGGCGATTCTGAAATCTATGAAAATTTCTAGGTCAATCGGGAAGACTTTGATTCTTTATTGTACCATTTTATAAAAGCAACAAGCAACAAAAATTCACAGACATCAAACCCTACTTAATTAAGTATTCTGTGCAAAAGTTTGTCTCAATTGAACAAATTTCGTCACAATCGGACAAAAATTGGGAGATTTGTAGACCATTTACATAATATCGGACGAAGCTCTATATGGGAACTATTCTGATTCGGTTTAACACACTCTATTCTACTTTCAATTTCATACGTTATGCCAAAATTAGTCTCAATCGGACCAACATTGAGAGTTTGGTGGACCATTTACCTAAAATCGAACGAAGATATATGAGGGAGCTATATCTAAATCTGAACCGATTTCAACAAAACTTCGCAGAAATCAATTTGGACTTAAATCAGTGCGCTGTGACAAATTTTGTCTCAATCGAACAAATGTTGCCAGTATGATGCTCCATTTACATAAAAACGGACTAAACTATATATGGGAGCTATATCTAAATCTGAACCGATTGTCTCCCGATCGGAGACAACCTTTTGTGGTTACAAACATATGCCCTGTACCAAAGTGTGCTGAAGGGTATAAAAATAGTCAGGTTGCCTCAATTGATCTCATCTTAGAATTTAATTGTTGGTTTGGAAAAAATATTTCGATTTGCAAAGTTTGGTTCAAAACTTCCATTATCTTAAATTGGATTATAAAATTTTCAAAATGTTGACACTTTGTGGGGATGGTACCATCAGAAGGAGTGCACTAACGGGTCTCATATTCGAGCTTATTCCATGTAGAGTAAACATATTATGAAGTCCAATGTTTGGATGAAATTAAATATTCCCTTCGCTTCATATAAGATTTACAATTTTAAACATTTTGACCATTTTGTGGAGGAGGTACCAGGGGGAGTGGACCGATATGTCTCAAATCGTATATTCCGTTCGCATGAAATGCCCGTCATCAAACTTAAAATAAGTTTGGATGAATTCGATTACTCCCTTTGAACAGAAGAACGAACGAATATTTGTGTATCGACTCCAAATTGTCTGAAAGTGTATATATACATAACCTCATTATTCATAAGACTGGAGATATAAAAAATTAAAGTTGATAGGTCGTTGTATAGGGTAAACACAAGGTCGAATGAGCGGACCCGTCAAATATTAAATAAATTTATTTATATTTTACTAATATTGGAAAGTCGATTTTGGCAATTCAAACCAAGTGTCAGTTAATTAAACTTGCGTCCTATTTTCTGCATTTCAAAGGTAATTATGTTTTGGCTAAACAACTGTTAGTTCGATAATAAATTTACATATGCACTCTTGCTACTTTCAACAAATGTAATCTACAAATTGAAAATGGTTGTGGTGTTTAGGTCAACATTTCCCAATAGCGATTTGGTTGTACATAATTACTATCCACCAAAATAAATTTTAAATCAATTATTTTTTTCTGTAACTCACATAACACACTTCATTTTTTAATGATATTATAACTTAACTTCAAAATTCGCCCCCAAAACATCAGTTGTCATTATCACCAACAATTATATGATGGAGTCAATGTTATGACCTGTATAACGCAATGCAGCAGCAGCAGCCTCAACAACAAATATATGGAAGATCGTAAGTTTATCCAAGTGTTACAGTTAGTTGTCTTCAACTATTTTTTTCCGCATAAAGAAATCAATTGATAACCAACTGGATTTTCGTAGACCTCGACGACAACAACAACAAGAGTAAAAGAAGAAAAATCCAAAATCAAGTTGGATAGAGTAACTAGTATAGCTTGAGTATTAGTACCCCCAGTAGATGATTGCATATGGACGATGATGATGAAGTTGCCGAACTGGTATTTGAAGTGTGTGTATGTGAGTGACTAACTGAATGCATCTTATGTACAGTTTGTCAAGTAAATGTTTTCAAAAGGGGCATTTTTTTTTTGAAAAATGTATGCTTTATTAGTGAATTTTTAGGAACGTAAAACACAGTCTGATAAGTGTAATGCAAAAATTAAAATATGAACAATTTTTCAAATGGAAAAATCCCATATACTATCAATATAAAGCAATAAATTTTCATGTGGCATGGATGTATACGTTTTCTGTAAAAAAAAAGTCGTAACTACAACTAAGCAATGTGCGACCTATAAAGTGGTCACCATACCGTACATCATCCAATTATGCGATAACCTCTCGTTCTGTCATGTGTATTACTGAACAAAATGTAACCTACCCAAATAACAGATATTGATCTTGCCAAAAAAATTCTATATGAATCTAAACAAGTAACAAATTAACTTTTAATATACTATCCTAATCCAACGCAACGAATTATTTTCGAATTTAGTTTCAAGAATTTTTTATTTTTGGCAGTAACCGATTTCATCCAAAATGTACACATCGTAATATTTCTTCCAAACTTAGTTTAAATTCGAATGTGGGGAATATCAGAATATCTTTGCCAAGCCTGTCTACTCCTTCTGGGTCAACATTTTCAATATTTATAAATCCAATATGGAATGGAATGTCCGATTTGATCCAAATTGTGCACATCGAAAAATTTCTTTCAAACTCATATTAAGTTCGAAGATGTGAAAAGTCGGTCCTCTACTTCTAATATCTCCTCCCACCAAGGATCAACATTTTGAAAACTTGTTTCAAGGTTCCCTCCTTCTTGAACCTCTTCTAGTACATATACCTAATGTAAACCGAATTATTAAACCGGTGTTTTATTCCGTAGTCCTCCGCAAACTTTAGACTGAGGGTATATATCTGTCGGCTACGCCGACTAACTCTTTTTTACTCATTGGTAAATATATTAGATTACAAAACCCATATATGTTATTTCGATCACACAGATTAAATGCAGTTTGAAATATCGAGTGTTATGGTTGATTGATATATAGATCTAATTTTTGTATACCAGGGTATTATGTCTTCGTGCATATGTTTGTAACTGGCAAAATGAATCGACATAGACTCATGGTTCCTTTTGAGAATGATATTAGCTCACATCGTTAAAATCGGTTCAGATTTAGACATAGCTCACATATATATTTTCGTTCGATTTTTTGTTAATGGAACTCCAAAGTCCCTATATATATATCTTATTTTTCACGAAATTTGGCATAGCGTACTGAATTGAATCTTGAATTTTGTTTGTTAAGTTTCATGAAAATCAGTTCAGATTTAGATATAGCTCCCATTAATATTTTTGTCCGATTTTGTGTAAATCAATATTTGTTCAATTGAGACAAAATTTGTCACAGCGCACTGAATTAAGTCCAAATTGGCATAACGTATGGAATTAAAACAAGGATAGAATGTGTTACGTTTGATTGAAATCGGATCAGATGTAGATATAGCTCCCATAGACAACAGAGACAACATATTGCGCAGCATATTGAGTTAGGCAAAGATAGACATATGGTGCATCAAATTTCCAATATTTATCCAATTGAGACCAACTTTGGCACAGAATACTCAATTAAGTCTGGTTTGATGTCTGTAAAGTTGTGTTGCTTGTTACTTTCATACAAATGGTACACTAAAGAATATTTTGTAAACTTAATATACCATGACTATACCAAAGCCATTGATACATAAATTAAAGATTTTTCACAAATATAGAGTTAATCGAAGTGTCCTTTGATCGTCTCATATATGATAAACTATTTATTTCACTATTTGACATGTCTGTTTTTTTTCGAAAACATATTCTTGACAAACTGTAAATTGTTGTCTGGTCTTTTAAGCCATAGTTATGTAAAATGACATTCATGTTTACCTTTTTCCCGAATGTCGTTACTTGTTTAGCTCAACAACAGAAAAAAAGCTAAACCGTTTTCATTCCGTTTGGCTACAAACAATTAAAGAACAATGCCCAGGGGCTATTACAATTGCACAATTAGAAAATTTCGTTATAAAAATAAATTAAGAATTATACAATTT